GTACATAATACACAAAATTAAAACTTTTTTAAAGTTTTTTAAAAAAAAAAACTCTCTTTAAATAAAAATTTTTTTAGTAATAAAAAGCTAAAATAAATTCGATATTTCCAGAAAAAAAAAATCAATAATTTATAAGTTTAAATATACGCAGAAAAATTTTAACTTCTTTTTTTAAAAAATAAAAAATCTAACAATTAGTAATTTTTTTTAGCAGGCAAAAAAAGAAAAAAAAACAAAATGATAAAATAATAAAAATTAAAATAATAGAAAAAATGAATGAATAAATTATTTAGCAAATAAGAAGCAAAAATGATAGAATGCAATAATAAAAAAAATAAGAGCAAAAGTTATGGGACAATTTTTAAGTGTCATTGTCAAACAGTGAAGAAAATGTCACCAATGCATCTAAATGTAGAATATTTGCTATGAATAACTGATTGGTTGATCGATTGATCGATCGATTGATTGATTGATTGATTGATTGATTGAAAATTAGCCGTAATTCGTTGTGTCTAACAAACCACATTCGTTGAAAAGTTTCACAAATGAATTTCTTCACATCTTTCTTTTTTTTTTTTTTTTTGGTTATTTTTTTCTCTTTTCTCAGCATCTTAAAATTATTTCCACGTATCTTTCTTTTTTTTTTAATTCTCTCTCTCTCTCTCTCTCTTTCCCTCTCTCTCACTTATTCTTTTTCTCTTTCTCTCCCTCTCTCTATCTTGCTCTCCTTCATTTTAATGATGAAAAAAGAAAGAAATTATATTCTTGGAGAGGAAAAAAAAAAGAATTGAACTTTGATAAAATTAGAATTGATGGAAGACATTGATTTTGCTAATTATATATATAATATAGAGGGAGCAAAAAAAAGATTAATGCATGCTGCAATAATTTGAGCATGCATGCATGCATGCAGTATTTATATGCAAGTATACAACACATAGATGTATGTAAATTTGAAATATTTATTGAAAAAAAAAAACTTTTATGTGATTGTTTTTGTTTATTTGTTTGTTTGTTTATTTATTCATTTCATTGTAAATATAATTTGATGCTGTTCAAATAGGAATATAAAAATTTCCAATAAATTTCATTTTTATTTTTTTTTTTTTCTTTTCTCTTCAATCACGATAAATTAAAAGTTCAAAGTTCAACAAAAATTAAAAAAAAAAAAAAAAAAAGAGGCTAAAAATGTATCAAATAGTTTTTTTTTAAATTGAAAGTGAAAAAGGAAAAATAAAAACAAAAGTTTAATTTAAAATTTTTAAATTGAATAAGTGTATCTAATCACCTATTTGTTTTATCCAAAAAATTATTCAAAAAAAAAAAAACGAAAAGTTCAGAAAAAAAAGTGTTCGTCCTTCACAATTTTTTGTTTGCCTTTTTTTTTAAAAAAATGAAATTTTGTAAACACCACGATAAATATTTATAAAAAAAAAAAAAAAAAAAAAACAATTTGAAAAATATTTTGTTACAAATTAATTAATGTTTCTTCTTTTCATTTTCAATACAAAATTTTACTAACATTTTTATTTCATTTATAAATGTCATAAATTCATTCATTCAATTTTGCTATTAATACAAATATTTTAATTTTCTCAAAAAAAAAAAAAAACTTACATTTATCTTTGCAATAACTTTTACAGTTAAAATGAAAAAAATTTCTTCTCCAAATTCAATTTATTCTTTTTGTGACGAAAAAAAAAATTTTTTTTTTTTCATATTTAAAATTAGAATTCAGTTTTATCATCCATTGATAGAAATTAATTTATGAAAAAAGGAATGAAATGAAATAAATTTTTATTATAAATAAACAACTTCATCATTTTTAGCAAAAAACTTCTTTGTCTCCTATTTTGATCATTTCATTTAGTAAATTAAATTTTTTTGTTATAAAATTTTACACGAATATTTGAACAAACTAATTACATCTCATCGTAATAGAATTAAATAATTGCTCTAAAAACGAAAAAAAAAAACAAAGAATATATATAAAATTTAAAAAAAATAAATAAATATAAAATTAAAAAAAAAAGTATTTCCTTTACTTATCACAAAACTAATATTTCTAATATTTGCTGCTTAATTTTAATTTTAAATCAAAAATTTGCACATTATTAATTTAAATCATTTTTGCTTTTTTTTTTCCTTTTATTTTTTGCTTTCTAAAATTATTAGTTTTCATAAATAATAAATGAATGATTGAATTAGAGTTGAGTAAATAATTAAAATATAAATATTATTATAATATTTCTAGAAAATATGCGATAAACAAACAAATAATAGAATTTATGTTCATAACAAATAACATTTCATTGAATAAAAATAAATATAATTGAAAATTACAAGTAATTTTTCATAAATAATAGATTTATTATAAATAATCCACTAAATTTTAGATGCAAATTTTAGTAAAATAATTAATTGAAAAATGTCACTAAAATAAGTAACATTATGTTATTATTATTATTATTATGTATTATTATCATCATCATTAGTATTATCGCTGTTATTATTATCGTTATTATTATTATTATTATCACTTATTATTATTAGTATTATTATTATTATCATCATCACTTATTATTATTATTATTGTTATTATCATTATCACTATCATCTAACATTATTATTATCATTGTTAAAATTTCATTTCATTGAAAAATGTCACTTAAATAAGTAGCATATCATTATCGTTATTAACACACAATAGTATTAATGATTAAAATTATCATTATTTTTTATTATTATTATCACTGTCATTATTATCATCACTATCATTTATTATTATTATTGTAATTATTATTATTATTATTATTATTATATTATTATTATTATTATTATTATTATTATTATTATTATTATTATTATCATTATTGTACTAAATATTATATTTCCAAATTAGGAATAAACATAAGTGAAGAAAATTCGTAGCACTAAACGATAATATATTTGTGTCCTTGATTAACACAATGTTTAAATGAAATTCACCTAACATTTCAAATACTCAATAAAATTTGCTACAACAAATTTAATTTACTAAAATTATAAATACATTCAAATTTCTACACTTTTTTCTTTGCTGAATTATTAATTTTCCATAATGAAAAATTTCCTTCTACTTTTTATATTACAATAAATAGAAATTTAATTATAAAAGATTAATAATTTAAATATTGAAAAGTAATAAAATAATAGTAATAATGAAAAAAAAAAAAAAAGAGGAAAGAATTAACTTATAAAAGGCAATAAAAAAAAGAAAGCAAAAGTAGGAGAAAATATTATAAAAAAAAGATATTTTCAGTTTAATATTATATATAAACCTAAAGGTAACATTATAAATTTTCATTTAAAAGCATTTACAAAATAGAATTGGAGATCCGATTGAATAGATAAAACGATACGCATATCATTATTTACAATCTTGAAGTATCCGTTATAAATAACGGAAGTGAAAGAGGAAATAACTATATGATATTATCAGAATGTTGATAATAATTAATTTAAATCTTTTAACATTAACATTCCATTCTTTATTATTTATTTATTCATTCTTATTTCAAAAATATTTCAAGTTGATTGAATTAAACTAATAGAAAATATTTCATTTAATTATATTTATCATTCTATATGGTTATCTTTTTTAAATACCAAAAAAAAAAAAAAAAAAAACAAAGTGTTATGAAATAAACAAATCGTCATTATCACTACTATCACTTCTACTACTACTACTTTTCTTCTTCTTTATCAAATATATTCTTTCATAATATCGGTATTTCTTTGATGTCTTTTTTTCCTATAAAAATGTCCTAATTTATATTTGGTATAGCATATTTCTATCTGCTGTAATTACTTCATTCAGTTATGGTCTATTAAAATAGACAATTACTAAAACCAATGTGAATTGTTTTCAGTATCAGTTAATTAGAGCATTTTCAGCAGATGATAAATAATTGAATTCAATTGATAAATCATCACTGATATAGAAATTTCATTGATCATTTAAAAAAAAAAAAAGAAAAAAAAAGAACATGGAGTCATCTCCACAGGATTATTTGTTAATATGCTCTCGATTTTTTCTTTTTTTAAAGAAAAAAAAAACCAAAAATGGAAAGATAAAAATGATTACTTTAGTTATTTAACAAAATTTGAATAAAATGATAAGAAATGAATGAATATATCTCAAATTAGTAGTACAAAATAAATCAAGAAATATGACTTCAATTTATCAAAGTAACAGAAATAACAAAATGTAACACAGTGGAATTAATATAATTTCATAGAGAAACAAATACTGCTGTTATCTTATAAAATAAGAAGCAGTGAATTGAAAAAATTGTACCAGATGCTAAAATTTTAATGAAATTTGGAAAGTAAAATTTGATATCTTTCACTGCTATAAAAACATCAGAATTGTAGTAGAATATCTTGAAAAGGGCTTCCACTTTCATCAAAATGACATTGCACCCGAAATATAATAAATGAAATTTGAACTTTGCTTCTCATTATTCGGTTTAATTTATCTCTGACAGAAAAAAAAAAAAACTGAATGAGTGAATGGGTGTTTGTTTTAAGCCAAAAAACTCATGTAGAAACAAATTTTTTCTAGAAAATTTTCTTTTTTTTTTTTTGCTCTCTCATGTCCCTTCCAAACTTGAAGCTGACCAATATTCTCGTCCAATATTTCATATATACATTAGAAAAAAAGAAAAAATTACAATTTACAGCACCAAATTCATACAACAATTTGAAAAATATATGACTCTTATACATCTGTGATGCATAAACGACAATATGATCAAAACATTTGACCAAGAATTTTTATACCTAATAAATACTTGTGAAAATCATTAGGCTATAATAATTCAAAAATTTTCTCTTCTATAATTCGAAAAATTTCTCTTCTATTCGTTAACTGCATTCAAATGTTGAGGAAGGGAAATTGTACTTTTTGTTTAATCAAACAAAACAAGAAATTTCGCACGTACATATGTTACATTAATCTAAAGTGCTGCTGCCAAATTATCGTAAATTTCTCTTTCGGCTTCACTCAATTTATCAAATTTCTTCCGCAGTCTTTTTTCTCGTTTTTCGGGTTCCAAATCAACATATCTGAAAAGGAGTTAAATTTCATATACATATAAATAAAAAAATAATCACATACATATAAATAAGGAAGAAATGAAAACAAACCATTAAAATTCTCTCTACTTTATAAATAAGTCAGTCAGGTTGATATTACTTTCGAATAGAAAATTAAACTACTACAAGCAGCATTAAGGAGTTTTCACAATCTCTTATTAGAGAATACTTTCAGAGTGTAAAAATCTCAGCATATTTACCAAACATAGCTTTAAGCCACTTCATAACTTACTTATTAGCCATACTGATTGCAAAGAGATCGAAGGCTGTTTTCGGTCCTTTCTTCTTAACGGATTTTCTGTTGCTATTATTAGTTTTCATCCCTTTTGATTTACTTATCTAAACTTAAAAAGTCATTTTAATATCCCACTAAAATATTTCATTATGAAATTGGCACTTTAATGTAAATAATAACCGCTGATCAGTATAAAAAAACAATGAATGAAATCATTAAACAGCGATGGGAGTACTTATAAATTACATCAAATGTGTAAATATAAGATCAATAAGTAACGGATGTAAAAAACATATTTAATCAAAATTTTGCTTAGAAAAAATAAAAAAATTTACGGCTTTCTGCGCAATCGAAATTGCATTATCCACATAATTTCGATGTGCTAGCGTTAATTCTTGGTGTGTTTCTCTAAAAAGAGAAGAAAACATTGAAGATCGCAAGTGACAAAATCGATGAGAACATAGATTATAATTACAATTCACTTAAATAGAGTTCAAAAGATTTACCTGTAAGCATGCAAATTTGACAAGTATTTTTCCATTAATTGTAAAGCTTCCTTTTTTGCTTCTGCTTTTTCAGCTGCATTCGACTCATTATTCCAGAATGCACTTACATCCTAAAAAGAATTACAACTAATACGCGCTTACATTTTAAAAACACCTACACGAACCTAAGCTGTACCTAAAATCCTTTAATTATCAAGACTTAAATGTTTTTAAAAGTTCATATTCCATTCTACAATAACAGAAAGACATCACGTGAGACAGTTTTTATTCCTTACTTACCCTGTTTTTTTATTCTCTCTATGCTAGTCATTATAAGACAATGCTACTACACTGTAATTCTAAAATCTGAATTTCACAATAAATTTATAAAGAATTTATAAAAGAGTTCATTCCAAAATCTAAATACTTCCTCTAAAAACATTCGAACACTCCAAATACTTCCACTTTTCTACAAAACACCATAAATGTTTACCTTGAAATTTCAGTTGTTTTCATTGTACAAATTTAGAAGCTATTCACGGATTTAAGAGATCAGAAAAACATACCAAAATGATAAAAAACTTACCGATGAGAATCTGCTATGTCCTGCTTTTCGCATAAATATTGAAAAAGCATTTGGTGGTTTTTTAGGAAATGTTGGATCCATTGTAATACTATGACCTTCTTCCAAGAACGCATGCAACAACTTAAAGAATTTCTATATATATAATAAATTTCTCAAGAGAAAGATGCTTTGTTTAGTTTAACATGTCATATTCATTGCATTTAACTTGCTTCTTGCTTTTTAGGCATTTTCGGAATCAGAAAGATACAAGAGGGAAAGTATCGTTGAAAAATGAGTCGTATTTCAATTTATATTATTCAATTGAAATTTAACATTAAACTTTGACAAGTAACTCGAAACATCAGCTGAACTGTCTTTCATACAGTATAATATTACTGGACAAAGTTTAATGCATTGACTAAATTATTGCAAATTTCATTGAAATTATAAAACCTAACTAACCTCAAGGGCAGTGGGTACTGTCATCGATGACAATAATGTTGCTTCTTTCAAACACCTGCGTAAGTCGATCTTGAGCATTCTAAAAGTTTCATGTTTGCTTTAGGTGCATAAAAAATTTTGTATTTGTTTCTTGTTTTGTTTTATTTTGAATTGTCTTTGTTCTCTATTTGGTTTAAATCGAAAACAGAAGATGCAGCATATATGTTTAAAACTGGCCAAACTGATTAAGAAATCTCTAATTCATGAAAAACGAGATTAGCGTGTCGTAAAGGTTTTATTATTTGAAATGATCGCCTTTTGCCTTAAATTAAATCATTTAAGTGAGAAAAAACTTCAATGTAAGCCATGATTATGAACTGTTATTAAATCCAGAAGTGATAATTAAGAATACAAATTGGAAGAATAGCCGAAATTGAAGAATTTACTCTTTAGTTCCTCCTGGTGGCATATCAATATCATCAAAATCGTTGAATCCCAAAAATTTTTTCGACAAGATTTTCTTTTTTTGTTGCACCTTTGTTCTTAATTCCTGAAGATTTGTACTGTAGGAATGATTAAAGTGAAGTGCTAATTGAAGTGTTGCTCCGTACGAAGGATTTTGTAATTTCTTAAACCTAACATGAATTTAAAACATAAGGTTTGATTAAGCACAACAACTTAACGAATTTATCACTCTTCAACAGAGTGTGGATTATACTTTTTTATGAAATGATGAGACTTGACCGGAAAATTTATGAATATGAACTTGTACTTCATAAAATGGATTTATAACATAATTCAATAAAAACATATGTACCTCGACAATTTTTGCAATTTGACTAGGAGAAAAATGAAGATCTACTGAGGATGACTGAGCGCTTTCTATATCGTCACTGGCATCCGATGCTGACTGGAAAAAAAAATCGCATATATAAGAAAACAATGACATATTTCAGTGGTTCAATGGTAACTTCAGCGGTTACGGAGTAAAGTTCGATGGAAATACAATCTATAACTTTATTAAAAAACTGAAGTGAACTGATTTTTTTTTTTTTTGATTCTTGCTGATACAATAAAAATTACCGTAACATCTAAAACAATGATATACAGTCGTAGATAAAATAAAGCCATTTTTTTTTTTTTTTTTTTTTTTTTACCGTGTAATACTTTTTTAATGCTAGTATGATTAATCAATAATAAATTACTCAATAAAACCCACTTCCTTGACGATTTTCTTCTGTACCTTTGCTTCCTTTAGAACAATTGGTCCAGAAACTTTCCTTTTATTACTGTTCCGATTCATACTGTTATGTAATGGTGAGACAATATCTTGCCATTCCGTAATACCACCTGATATATCCATTAAAATAATCAATACTGCAAAATTAGATAAGTAATCGAGCACCAAATATGAAATACTTAAGTGAAAACAGAAGTGACAAATAATTAATTGCATGATGTACATTTAAGTGCAACACGCAAACATTAATCACAACAATCACTAGGGTTTAAAATTCTAAATGGTGAGTAATAAAGCATATAATCTACAGTACGCAATAAATATATGGCTGAACGCATAAGTAACAAACGATTAATTAGTCAAATTAACAGGCAGTATATAAATGCTGCCAAAATGTATCAACGATTTTATGACCTTAAAGCTATATGTAAAAATAGAAACCAGTAAAATGCAAATGTCGACTTGTCGCAAAAGCAAAACAAGTAAGAAATTAATCTAAATTAAGAGATACACAATTATCATTGACATCCAAATTGATAATTCCAAAAGCCATAAAGTGCCAATGAAATGAATGAATTGCAATGAAAGACAAATTAAACAATAGAAACTCAAATTCACTTTCTCTAATCATTTTCAATTGGTCCAAAACTAATGTTCAAGTCGAGTGAATACAATATTTTCAAAGAATTCTTGTGAATAATTCAATACATAACTTTGCATTTTTTAGTTTACTCAAAATTTCTGACAAATCTTAAAATCTCTGATGATATCCTTTTTCCTACCTGGAGGAAACTACCTGAGTTGTTCTTTTACTTCTCTGAGATGGAATTAAGCGACTGCCAATGATAAACCTGTGACAAGCAATGATAGAAGATAAAAACAAATCAAATCAAACATTCCCGAGAATACTCGCTTTTACCCATCCTCCTAAAACGAAACAATATCAACATTTCACGGGACGCTCGCGGTCCATTAAATCCCAAATCCCTAACTGGATTATATTTGTATATTCACCTCATTGTATGCAATTCTCCGTAATGTTCGTAGTTGTCTGGATGTCTCGTTAATTTATATGCTATTTTCACGTCCGGAACGGATTGCTTCTCGTATAATTCCGAAAAAAGGATTTCTCATATAACCTTGTGTATTTCCGAAAATGATAAGGAATACGCCATTACTGGATACGGTTTTATTACTGGCAAATTATCTGGTGGAGAAGTTACACCACTTTTAACTATTCCGTAAATATTACGAATTTACACCGCTTTCAATCATTATCTAGTAATTAACCGGAAATTTGGATTATCTTGAGCAGGACTTGTATATTCTTAGTCAGTATTCCGGAATTCATCCTTTTAATTCTGGTTAATATGAAAGAAGGATTTTGTTTAGGATCCAGAATTTTGTATTAACTCTAGAAACATATTTCAGCATGTTAGCTCTAAAGAAATATTTCAGGATTTGTACTAGCTCTAGAAAAATATTTCAGGATTTGTACCAGCTCTAGAAAAATATTTTAGGATAATTTACTACCTCTAAAGAGATATTTCAGGATTTGTGCTAGCTCTAAAGAGATATTTCAGGATTTATGTTAGCAAATATTTATTGTTATTATATAGTTATAAGAGTTCAAAATTTTGCTAAAGTAATTTCTATTTCAATTGAAAGTAAAATTTGAAGGCACATTAATTTTTTATTTTATTATATAAAATTTTGCAAAATTATTTAAACAAATGAAAATCATGTAAAAAAAAAAGATGATAATTGTTTAAAATACTTTTAAAACTAATTGTCCTATGTTGGTATTTAAATATTTATGTTATTTCCTTTTTCTTCTTTACTTTATCATCACTGAAAATAATCAAAAAAAAAAAAAAAAAAACATTATAAATAAATCAAATAAATCTAAATCCAAAGAAGAAAATTACTTGTAAAATATGCGGCAGCTTGTAATAACACATTTTGTACAATTGTTGCATTAAATTTTATTGCATTCAAAAGCAGATGGTCATCAATTCATTTCCTGATGCAATCAACCGTTTCTTTCTTCCGTCCTTTTCATTTCTCTCTCAATGTACTCACTTTTTAATCAGTCATCATTTTTACCACTGATTACAATCATTTAACTTTTGAACACAAATAGACAGCTGCAAATGAATAAATAAATAAATATACAAAAAAAAAAAAAAAAAACTTTTATTACATTTTTATTACCTGGATTTTACCTTTATTTAGCATTGTAAATTAATAAATTTGATTGTTGTATAATATTGAAATTATGTATTGTATTATTTAACAAAAATTATAGATTCGATAAGATTAATGTATAAAATATTAATTTACTAATGAAACTTTATGAAAAAAAGTTTTTTTTTTTTTTTCAAATTTGAATTTAACAATATTATTTTTGATTTTATGTATTCCTAAATTTACATAATGTATTAGTCATTAACTTGATAGTTTTTCTTTTTGTTATCAATATTTGTCGATCAGATTTTCTCAGATTTTGTTCCAAATTTTGTTTTTCTAAATTTTAAATTCTTTAATTTTAATCTGATTAAAAATGAATGAAAAATGATAATAAATATATGATATTTAGTCTAGAACATTTCAATAGGCAAAACGGTTAGTACTCCTGTTGCTATCATTGCTCTCCGGAATTATTCCTGATCTGTATTCTTTTCTGGTCATTACAAATAATCAGTGTATTGTTCAGTTAATCAATATCGATATTATATTACGAAGCAAGCATTAATTTCAACTAATCAATCGATTTCATTCTTCGGAATTATGTTTAATTTTTGGATTACAAAACTTTTATTCTTTTTTTTTTGGTTCACAAAATAATCATAGTGACAAAATAAATACGTATAGCTGTGACCAAATTTGAAAAATAAACAAATAAATACTTATAGTAATTATTTTTTTTAAAAAAAAGCACAAAATTTTATTTTCTTTCTTATACTCATAAAAAGAAAGTATAACAATACTTTTGGGATTATTAATGCTAATAGCTTATTTAGCACATCCTTAAAATTATATATTTCTTGAAATTTTGATTTTAAATAATAAATTGACAACATAAAATAGTTCGCTAGTGCTTTTTTCAGTAATATTTGCATATTTTAATTGCGATTATATTATCAAATAAATATTAAATTAATATCCACTGTAAGTATAAACAATAATTATTTCATTCTGAAACATTAACAGAAAATGCTTTGCTAATAAAATATTATCAAACAACTGATCTAATTTATTAGTCTATCTTTTTCTTTTTTTTTTTTTTCTTTTAGCAAAATCTCCTTTTGATTGTGAAAATATCAATCATAGCATAACATAAACAAAATTAATTAATCAAATATAATAAAACAAAAGTGTATTAATTAATCAAATGTAAAAAACAAAAAACAAAATATCATTAATTATTCAAATGTCAGTTGTAATCAAACTATTATCATCACACACACACTGATACATCTGTTTCCAATTTGAAATTATTGTTTGATAGTGCAAAGAAGCCTAATTGTATGGCCTATTGTTAATACAACAAAATGTATTTAACTGGGGACATGACCTTCATGACATGCGACACTCGACCTAACACCGTATGGTTGCTTTTATAGATTTACCTCTGCCATATGTTTGGAATTTTTTTACAATATTATTTTAAATAAAAATTAATTGAGGAAATAATAAATAAAGAAATAAAATTAGTTAAGTAATTATTAATTACTTCAAGTTCACTTCGAAACAATTACATATATAATAAAAAAAAATGAATTTAATTAATTCTTAGAAAATAATGAAAAGAAAAAAAAAAAAAGAAATACTATGTTTTAGGAAAAAATGATAAGTAATTATCATTTCCTCAGATAATTTCAGCAATTCTAACTTTTTATTAACGATTAAATAATTTAATAATTTTTATTTTTTAAAAATCTAAATTTAAATTTAAAATTTAAAAATCAATTTTGATTTTATTTTTGTTTGAAACAATTTTAATTGTTCTGAAAACTAAATGCTATACTACGGATTAAATGTAGTTTACATATATGTTATTAGCAAGTATCAACATTTCTCATCAAAAGATATTAATAAATAATTTATTTTAAAATAGTACAAATTATTTTTTAATCAATTAAACAATTACAGCAAATATTTTTGATATCCAATATTGAACATTTGAAAAATCATCCATTCCTTTTTTTTTTCTTTTTTTTTTTTTTTTTTGATTTCTTTTAACAAAATTACAAAATATCAAAAGTCAAAGGAATTTAAGTCAAATTTTTATAAGCAATTATTTTACTATTTCTTATCACTATTGTTATCAGGCAAATTTTTATTAAACTATAATTATTATTACTATTATTATTATTATTATTATTTAATATTATCACTATTATAAGCTTATTTAATGTGATATTTTTTAATTTCTAATTATTTTACATTGCAATATTTCAAAGGAAGGAAAGAATACTTTGAAATGAAATCAATAATCAATCAATCAATCATCAAATTATTATCCATCTATCTGGTTTCATCACTTGACATTGATATCATAATGTATCCAGGAATTTTGGTACAATAAGTGGCACCTCTTCATCATTTCTGTTCTTAACGATGACAGTACCACTTCAAAATATCACAGCTGCGGGGCGGAGTTGTCGGTGCTATATGTTTGGCGATCGTCGTTATCGGTCATTAAAATCATCCATGGTTTAGCACCATCAAAAAAGGAAGAGGTGGTACTTTTTTTTTTTTTTTTTTTTTTTCAAATATTCAATCAAACATCTAACAACTTAGCTTGTTGCTTTCCATTCCTCTGAAATTGATTTCAATTATTTTTTTATCAAATATTTTTGCAGCAGATAATCATTATCAGTAAACGTTTGCTTAATGCTATTGACGAATAGTGATCGAATTCTTCGCCTCATTACATTTATACTATCGATGGTATAACTTTTTACTTATTTATTTACTACTTAATGAAATATGTTAGTTTAATCATTGAAATTTAATCATTAATCAATACTTTTTTAAATGATTACGGTAATCAGATTATTTTCTTTCATGATTGTAATATTTTTATAGTCAATCGTATAATTGCATAGATTTTGTTACAAAAAAAAAAGCTCAAAATGTTTCGAGTTAATAATAATAATAATATTAATATTGATAATAAATAATAATAATGACAATAATTAATAGCAATAAATAATAATAATAAATCATATGACATGTTAACTACTTATAATTTTTTAATTATAATCAGTTTGTTTCTACATTTCAACAAAAAAATTTGAAGTTCGAAGTGAATTGAGAGCGATTAAAATTTCGAAGAATTATAAATTTAATGCAAAAATAATAATTCTTTTCTATATTGTTTTTTAAACTAACAAAAACAAAAGCAAATTTTGAGCATCTAATAAATTAAAGTATAAAATAATGATTAGAATCGAGAAATGTAGTAGTATTATTTAATTTTAATTACTTCTCAAACATTTTGAAACAGATAATTGTTTGTTAATATCATTGTTTTCTTTAAAAGATAATAAATAGTAAAAATCATTAACTTCTGATTAACTTAAATAAAAAAAAAAAGTCTGTTATCTTAATATAATTTGGTTTCATTTATTTTTCTGTTTTTCGAAGTAAATGAAATAATTGAAATTTTGATTGATATTCAGAATAACATAATAATTTTGTGACGATCATATGTAAAATTTTAAATAATTTAGATAATGTTAATTATTAATTCTGAAAATTTTATGAAAGTAGAAATTTTACTTAAATAAAATTGCACTGAATGATAAATTCTTATATATTTTCGTATAAAAAATTTCGTATATAATAAATTTTTTGCTCTTTAGAAGGAAATATCTAGACTTCTTTCTTTTTTTTTATCTAAATTTTTTTATTTCTAAAATTTTAAATTTTAATAATATCAATTTTAATTTCAGGCTAATTTTTATCGTATTAATTGTTTCATTTCAAAAAATTTTCACATTTTTTCTTTTAAAATTTAAAATTATCAAATTTTAAACTTTTGATACTTAGAATTCTAATCGATAAATTTATTTTCTTTTTTTCTTTTTCTTTGCTATAAATCAGAAAAAAAAAATCAAAAATGCATACTTTTCTTAAGTACTTCAATGATACTTCATTTTATTCGGTCATATACGATCAGTAAAAGAATACAACAAAAGTTGGTGACGAAAAAAAAAAAAAAAAAAAAAAGGACGGTCAACAACAAAAATCTTTCTGTCATTCATATCTAATCAATTCATCTAACAAAATGTCACTTTTAAGTATTTTCTGCATAATTTAGAAATTGTTTCAATTATAATTGTTTTTCCTTTGAAAATTTTTGTTTACTTTTTTTTTTTTTTTTCCAAAACTAATTTAAATTTCATTTTTTTTGTGTGTGTGTTCAAAATTAATTAATAAACAAATATAAAGCTAAAACTAAAAAAAAAAAAAATATTAAATTTTCAAAAATTTCGCAATTAATTGCAATTTTTAATTTTTCAACTGTAGCAAAATTAAATTATTTTGCAAATTTTTATGTTTAATCTAAAATTTTAGAAATTTTTTATTTTTTTTCAATTTTTTACACTTCCTATTCAAATGAAATAAAAATGTGAAGGAGCAAAAAAAAAGAAAAAATTTTTTTTTTCTTTTTTAAAATTAATTTCTTTTAGATGGCATCATTTTTGAAAAAATAATTACCGTAGCCAAATGATTAATCATGAAAAGTCATAAAATCCATGTTTATACAACAATTTACTGTTTGTTATCGGATCAATTATCTGCTTAAGCTTTTCATCTTTATTCTATCATTTTTTTTTCTTTTTTTTAGATCTATTTAATCTGATCTAAAGCGGTGCATACTTTTTATGATTTTTTCTTTTTTTTTTTTTTACTTTTACCTAATCTAACTTTTCAAAAAAATTAATTTTTTTTGAAATGTTGATAATTAGTGATAAAAGAAATACTTTAAAACTATTACACATATTAATTTTATTCTTTTTTTTTTTTTTTTTTTGTTTACATTATGATTTTATCAAACTATGAAAAAAAAAAACAAACAAATTCAATTTTGGCTACATTTTGATAACAAATTATCAAAAAAAAAAAAAACCAATAAATAATATAATGATTAATTAATAGCTTTTAATAATTCATAAATTTCGCAAAATTTTACAAATTTCAAAAATTATAAATGCTTAAATTCAATGATTTCAGTTTTTTTTATCATTTTATTTAATTATCAAATCTCATAAAAATAAACAATAAAAAAAAAGATAATTTAATTTCATACTAACAAAAAAAAAAAAAAAAAATAATAATTTAATTTTATATTAATATGAATATTTGCAAAAAGAAAAAAAAAAATGTTTGCTTTTCTTTTTTCTTTCTCTATCATTTTTTTTTTCTCACAAATTTTTTGCACTTACTTTTTAACTTTTTTTAAGTTTATTAAAATTAATTTAATTTTAATTAAATTAATTTTAATTAATTTCTTTTAATTCGTCAAAGTTTTTAAATGCCAACTGATCATTATGTAATTGAAGCATACTTGTGTAATGCTAACAGATGATGTCATCAAATGGAATTGGTGACATTCATCTGAATTAGAAGAGTTACTTAACGACGCGTGCCCTAATATCCTTCTAAACATATGTTTTTACACCCTTCAAGTACTTATCTATACTTAAATTAATCCTCTGTATTATTATACCACAACAACATATATTTTTCTCTTTGCATCATTCATCTTTTCCTATTATAATTTCAAATGATAGGGTTAAAGGTTAATTAATAATTTATAAATTGTAGAAAAAAGATTGTTTTCTTTTAACATCTAAAATATTTTAATTTTAGTTAAAATACAATTTTAAAATAAATTTAAAAAAGAAATTGAAATAAATAAACGTGTACAATTTCATTTATGCAAATAAATGAATATTTGTAAAGATTATTTAAATTTATGTTTATTTTGAGTAATTTGATTAAATTTAATTCAATTATTTGATTAAAATTATTTACTTTTGTATCAGAAATGGATTTAACTCTGTCAAAATTAACTAAACAAATGAGTAAATATGATATAAACATATCAAAATATAATGCTTGATATCATTTTTATCATGATTTATGATAATATTAATATGCTATCATTTTATTAAATACTTATTTATCGAATATATATTAATCAACTAAAACATAATGGAAATAATAATCGATTAATTCAATTTTCTTTTTTTCTTTTTTTTAAATATTAAACTTTCCCTTTAGATAGATAAATTTAACAAGCAATTTCGTTTCAGATTAAATTTATCGATAGTTCAGGTTTTGTAACATTTATACTAAAAGAATTTCAATTTGATAAAACCCAAGGATATGGGATTTGTTGTTCTGCAGGTAAAACATTTCTTTTCTTTTTAAGTTAATATTTTCTAGGTATAATTTAAGTTTTCAAGTAATCATCTTTGGTTCTTAATTAGTAATCATCTTTGGTTCTTAAATTATATGTATTATATGTAAAATTTAAAAAATTTATAAACTAAAAAAGAAAAAGAAAAAGTAATGTTTAATTCAAGGATTACAGTTATATTTGATTTTGATAATAATTGTTAATTTTATAAAATTTAAAAACAAAAATTTAATAGCAACGACTATTATTACTACTAATTAACAAATTACTATTTACTTATGAAAAAAAAAAAAAAATTTATTCTTAGTTTTGGCTACCTTATCATCCTTAATTTTATAAAATTTAATAATTATAACTATTATTACTACTACTAATTAAGAAATTATTACTTACTTCTAAGAAAAAAAATTATTCTTAGTTTTGGGTACCTTTATCATATTTAATTTTATAAGACTTAATAATTATAATTATATTATTACTAGTAATTAGCAAATTATTACTTACTTTTTAAGATCATCCTGAACAAGAATGTTACTGTCAAATGTACGTTCACGTTTGCGTTGGTGTTGGATTTGAACATCGAAAATTTCATCGTGATTGCTCGTTACTGCATCATAATTCACGTGTTATTGCTGGCACACAACTATTAAGTAATTATAATGTTAGCATACCATTTGATGTTCGATGGCCAATAAAGGTTTTAAAATTTTTTTTTTAAAAATCTTTTAATATTAACATTTAAATTAATAATGTAATTTTTTTTTTTTTTTTAAATTTCTTAATATTAACATTTGATTTTTTATTAAATACATTTTATTTAAAATTTTGATTATTATTTTTATTTTCTTTTTTGGTGCAATTTGTCTTTTTTTTTTTTTTTTTTTAGTTTCGGGGTACCATTGGCACCATTTACTTGCTGTATTGTCTGATTATTTGCTATTACCAATACCTTATCATTTGCTTTTCGAGCATTTAGAAAAAATGAAATCTTTTTTTTACACTGTTTAAAAAAAAAAAAAAAAGAAAATGAAAGAAAGAAAAATGAAAAATTTTACAATGCTCACATACATTTAGAACGTGGGAAATATTTGAAAGTGTATTGCAAATGAAATAATTAATTTACTTATTTAATTTTCATTGTTTATCAAATTGGATATTATTAATCAAAATTTCAGAAAACAAAAACAAAAGCCTTTTTATTAAAAAATAGTAATAAAATATTAAGTATTTAAAATATATGAATGTAATTAAAAATTTCTTTTTTTTGATCTTTTAATTGTTTACAAGTAATTATGATCATATTTAATATATAAATTAATCTTTAAAAATTAAGAAAAAAAAAATTATTTTCCCATTTATTATCATTCATTGTAGATTTCTTTCCTTTTTTTTTTAATTCCAAATTAAAATCATTTAAATGAATAAAAAACATTAAAGAAAAAAATTAAAATCATGAATTTTTTTTTTTGAATTTTGAATTAAAATGAATAAAAAAACAAAAATTATTTCATTAGAAAATAATTCATTTTTTCTTTTTTTTTTTTGAAATTTTCACTCTTAGCAAATGCTTATTTTTGAAATAATCTCATCTCAAAATTATTGCAATTAATCAAAATTATATGAATGTATTGTCCACACATTTGCCGACATATGTTTGACAAGTTTTGACCGCCGTCCATTTATGAGAATGGTCATTTGTTTACTATTTCATTTGAATACATTCCCTAGCATTGATATTATTTATCATAGATTGAAATCGAGAGTAACTTAATCAGTATGATTAGCTATTGATAACAATTATAATTATGCTAGTAGTATTGTTATTTACACATTAAATTATTATTTCATTAAATTTTTTTATTCGCATTAATATGCTCAATTAATTAATTATCAATCAATATTTATCATAGACTGAAATCGAGAATAACTTAATCAGTTTGATTAATTATTGATAACAATTAGAATTATACTATTTACATTAAATTATTATTTCTAATAAATTCTTTCTTATTATTCACATTAATTAATTCTTATTTATATTAAATTAAATTTAATCAGTTAACAATTAATTATATTGTAGTGATAACAACATCTACAATATCCCAAATAATATAATAACAAATATACATATATAGGGGGAAAAAAAAAAGTGAATTAATTAAATCTTATAATGAAGAAATGATAACAAATGATCAGATAAAATTCTCTTTTTTTCTTCAAAAACTATAAATGAATGCTATTTCGTTCTTTTTTCCTTTTTTTTTTTTTTTTTTTTATTTTTTTTATCGTCTACCTTTAGTTATATGCAGATGATTTGCGATATTAATGATAGCTCTTTCTTTCTTTCTTTTTTTTCGTTTTTCGTTTTTCGTTTTTTTTTTTTAAATTCCTTTTTTGATCATTTCCGGATTTATCGCTCATATAGAAAAAGCCAATTTATCAATGTTTTACTTTTCACCGCCCTTATTTTCTTCCTTTCTTTTTCTTTTTTGTTTTTTTCAAACTATTTTGATCGCTTTTATTCGATTTTTATTGATTCGTCGGTTAGATCAACTGATGATCATCTTTATTTGCTACATTTACTGAATCAACATCAATCCTTTTTCGTTTTTTTTTGTTTTTCTTTCCTTCTAATTTCTCATCTAATTTTTTTCTTTTTTTTTCCTTTTTCTGTTTTTCAATCCTTCTTTTCATTTCCTTTTCTAAAAATTAAAAATTTTGAGGGATTTTCAAACAAAAAAAAAAAAAAAATTATTTAGGAAAAGGAAATTATTACTTTTATTATTATTTGTAGCATTGTTATTTTAGAAATTAGAAGAAAAAATTTGAAGAAACAATTTTGTTAAATTAACAAATATATTTTACAAAAAAAAAAAAATTATAAGAATGTGAACTTTTTTAAATTAGGCAATATACATATATATATATTTGTTTATGATAATGACAAGAAATTGAATTTTTTTTAAATTTTAAAATAAATTTTTAAAATAAATTTTAATTAAATAAAAACTTAGATAAACATAAAATTTATTTTACCCAATTTGAATTCGCTCTTCTTTTTCATTTCAAATTCAACCCGTAAATTTTCAAATGAACAAAGTGAAAATGAAAATAAAAAACATATATAATTTTTAATATAATATTTCAAAAATTATTTTTTAATTTTTTAAAACAAAAAACAATGCATATATTATTAACATAAGAAGAAATTTTTTTATACTAAATAAAAAAAAAATTTGAAAATTCAATTTTTTTATTTTAAATCTGTTCATTGTTCTTTTTTTTTTTTTATATACTCAATGATTAAAGAGAAGTAGAAAAGATTTTTTTTTTTTTAAATAGAAACAGATGAAAATTTATCCATTTCAAATTTTAAAAAAAGAGAAAAAAGAAAGAAAAAGAAAACCCTGCCGAAAAATAAAGGAAGGAAAGAGTGAAGAAGGAATGAATGAATTAGTGTCAAATGGATTGCAATATTTGAAATGAGAAAGGTAAATTAATACAAGGTTAAAAGATTTGTGTCCTTTTTATAACCGACTTAGTGGTGCCAAAAATTGAAATGTACTTCACTTTAGCACCTGGTATTACTTTTTTTTTTTTTTTTTTTTTCGAACAAAACTATATAACTCATTAAACTATTTGTGTGATACATTGATGAGAGAATAGAATAAAATGAATTAACCATAAAAATCGCTTACTCTTCCTTCTTTCTCTCTCCCTCTCTCTCTCTCTCTCTTTCTCTCTTTTTTAAAAAAAAGAATTTTTTTCATCATAATAACTTAGCTTAGAAAATTATTATTTCTTTCAATGTTAAATTTGAAATGAAATGAAAAATTTTATTAATTCAAATTAATTATTACGTTCTTTTTTTTTTTCAACAACAAAAAAAAAACATTTTTTTTTAAATTAATTATTTAATCAATATATATTAGTTGTGATATTATCCGATTTAAAAAATTTGTTAAAACTTTTTTTTTTTTGAAGCAAAAAAAAAAAAAAGGAGAAGAAGAATACCATTTTGTTATTTTTTTTTTTTTTTTAAATCAAATTTTCTTTTTTTGTTTTTGAAATTTTATTATTCATTAAAATATTATTGATAACATATTAACGGTTTTTGAAAAATTTATTAAAAAAATTAACTAATTTTTTTTTTTTTTTTATATCAAATTTTATTTTTTTTTTTTTTTTTGTAATTTTATTATTCAATAAAGCTTGTTGGTGCCATATTGTCGGGTTAGCTAATGGCCAAATAAAGGTCATTTAGGTTTGCAAAAAAATTTTCTTACAATATAAATTGTAATAGCATTTTTTGAATGTGACATCATCTTAATTGATCCATAATTTAGGATCTAATTAACTGTAATTTACTGCTTGTGCATTAATTGGAAAAATAATCATTCATTTATAGCATTTCATTCAGTAAATATACACACATCCTTAATACATTTAGAAATGAGCTGAAAAAGGGGAAAAAACAAAAAAAAAAAAAGGAAAAAGGAAAAATTAATTGGCGCAGATTGAAAAAAAAATTTAATTGGCGCAGATGGAAAATTGCAATGTTTTATAATCAATTTATCAACATTGAAATGTATACATATATGCATGTCTATGCATGCATGCATGTAGTACTACTTGTGCACATGCATTTGTATGTTACATTAGCATGCAATCCATTTAGGCGCTTTTTGCATTCCAATTGCGCAGTAATATTTATCTTTTAAACAAAAATTAAAATATTTGTGTTTTTTTTTTTTTCGAGAAAAAAAAAAAAAAAAAAAAGACATAACGAAAAAGTATGTTAAAATAAAAGGAATAAAAAATAAATAAATGAAAAATTTTATTTCTTGCATTATTTACAGTTTAATTTTTCTTTTTTTTTTGTTTATTGAATTAATAAAATTTAAGAAAAAAAAAATGTTTTGATTTTTTTTTTTTTTTGATTTAAAAGTTAAATAAAAGGTAATAAAAATGATATATAAGTTTTGTAGGAAATAAATACTTGGATATACATCGATTATTTTAATATGTTAAAGTATATATAAGTAAGTATTGAGTATAAATTGAATTAAAATTTGAAAAAATTGAGCAAAATGTTCTAAGTACAATATTTAATATTTCAGAATTTTTAACTTAAAAAAAAAAAAAGTTACAAGAAATTTTAGTACTGACAAATAGAAATAATAGTAATTTCTTTTCTAATATCAATAATTTACTTGTTAACATTTTTTGTTTTGTTTTACATTTTTGTAAATTTTTTCATCTTCAAAAAAAAAAAAAAGTTAATTACTTAAAAAAAGAAATTATATTAGAATTACTTAATAAGAGAAATCATTTTTTAATTGATATTAGCTTATTTTTAGAAATGCTAATAGTACTTATAAGATCATATTATACTAATTAATTTATTAAACTATAAATATCAGTTAGTAATATATTTTTTAAATTATTTAAATTAAAACGAAAATTTAGAAAATGATTTCATTTCTTTTTTTTTTTTGCATATTTTTTGATAACAAAACATTTCCTTGAATACTACATACTATTAGAACACGTGCAATGAACCCATTTAATAGATCTATTCTTTAAAAAAAGAAAAAGAAAAACTAAAAATAAAATTTTTTTTTTTTTTTTTACTTCTATTTTAACTATTCTTTCGATGCACTACGACTTGCACCTTTATTGCATGCTAATTGCAACAGCTGCAATTCGAACAAAAAAAAGAAGAAAATGTAAAAAAAGAATTTGAAATAAAGGCAATCTTTATAGTAATAACAACTTATTCATAAAATAGAAAAATTTTTCATTCTTTTTTTTTTTTCAAAATAAAATGAAAAAAAAAAAAAAACCAAAAAATGAAAAACAGTAAATTGATAATTTTTCCAATTAATTTATTTCAATAAACAATCAATTTTAATGGTTAGAATAAAATATCAAATGTTAATTGTTATTATTATCAAATAGCATTTTAAAGACATCAAAAAATCACTTTAAAAATCACAAAGTTAATTATTATTATCAGAAATCATCTTAAAGATAACAAAAAAAAATCATTTCAATGATCACAAAGTTAGTTATTATTATCAATTATCATTTTAAAGATATCAAAAAAAAAAAAAGGAAATCGTTTTAAAAACCACAAAGTTAATTATTATTATTATCATTTTAAAGATATTAAAATAAAAATCATTTTGAAGACCGCAAGAGTTAATTATTATTATCAATTATCATTTTAAAGAAACAAAGAAAAAAAAATCATTTCAAAGATCACAAAAGTTATTTATCATTATTATCAATTATCATTTTAAAGATAATATATCTCAACAAAAAAGGCATGCAATGATATAATCTATTAGTAATACCATACATATAAGAAATATAATTATTACGTATGATTAATGTTTACTTTAATATCTAATAAATAAACAATTTTACATTCTTTCGTACCGGAAATAATTTTAGAATTTCAAAAAAAAAAAAAAAATTTTTTTTTTTTTTTGTTCCATAGATGTTGCTATTTGAAGGTATTAAAAGGTAATTGTTGATTTATTAATTTTTTTTTTTTTTTTTCCTTTATTTAATAACAAATCCGTTTCCTCAATATTTCAGTGAAAAAAAAATAAAAAAAAGAAAAAGAAAAAGAAAAAGGAAACGAAAAAAAGAAAGGGAAAAAGCAGGTGCATTGATAAGTGTAAAAATGTATTTTTAACAAAAAGAAAAGTCCAAATAATTTTGTCACAGCAGCTGTCAACCATTGCCGATTTATGCATTTAAATTATTTTTGTCAAAAATTGAATATGCTGTCAGAATGAATAAATTTTTCGATCAACAAAAATTTGCATTTTATGATTTCCAAATTATTTTTTAATAAAAAATTTCAATATATTATCATTAGTAATTATAATGTTTAAATTAAATTAAATTAAATTTCAACATTAAGTAAAATTAAAATTTTCAACATGTTATCATTAATAACCATAATTTTCAAATTTTTTCAACATATTACCATAAATAATCATAATTTTTAAGTTTTTTTTTTTATCAACATATTACTATTAGTAATTATAATTTTTAAATTAAGTTAACTTTAAATTAAATTTTAACTTTAATTTCAAAAATTAAAATTTTCAACATATTGTCATTAATAACTATATTTTTCGAATTTTCAGAATTTTAACCATATTATCATCAATATTCTTAATTTTTAAGTATTTAAGTTTTTTTTTTTTGGTTCATAACTGACAATCGTAAAATTTTCTTAAGTTATTATATTCGTTGCTTATTTTCTATGACATTATTTTGGATCAAAAATTGAACAAAATTTGTTTATTTTCTAAAAACATCCAAACAAAAAAAAAAAAAAAAAAAAGGAAAAAATAATTATATCAAAAATTTAGTTCAAAATAAGAAATTAAAGAAAAAAAAACAAATTTTCCCAGCAATGATTCGTTTTAAGAATTAAATATAAAAGGAATAAATATGAAAAATGTTTTTTTTTTTTTTAGTTTAAATGTCAATCATTTATGAATTATGCATAAATATGAAATAAAAAAATATAAATATAAAATTAAAAATAAAGAAATGAAGCAAAGTTGATTCTTTTCTTTTTTTTCAAATTGTAATAATTTATTTTTTTCAATAAGTTTTTTTTTTTTTTTTTTTTTGCAAATTATTGTCATTTATTTTTGACCTCAATTTTATACAGTTATTATTTTTAAAATAAATTTAAAAAAAAAAAAATCAAATTTCTCACATTTATCATTTCTTTTTTTTTACCTCCTTTTTTGATTATAGAAAAAAATAAGAAATATTTTAGTTGATAAAATTATTTGAACAAATATTTTTTTTTATTAATTAGCAATAATTCTTTCATTAATGCTTATTTATTTATTTTTTTGAAAAAATCATTTTTCATTTTTTAATTTATTGTTTTTAATTAATTTTCCATTTTTAATTAATTTTTGCCTAATAAAATTAAACTTTTAAAAATTAAAAAATTTTAAAAATTTAAACAATGAATTTAGAATTGATTAAAATTTAATAATCCACAACTGAGATATATGCTATTTCCGATTAAGGAATTAAAAAAATTTAATAATGCACAACTGAGATATGTGCTATTTCCGGATCAGGAATTAAAATTAAAGTAAGTGTAGATGAACACCTGCCTAAAAATGGCAAATTACTGGACAGTAATTGCCGGTACATTTACTATTACTTCTAAATGTAAGTGAATTCACTTACGTCATTCATCAATAATAATAACAAATCTTGCATCATTTATTAGCTTCTGCTACTTCTTCAATAAATAATATAAAAAAAATAAAAATTGATGTAATTAATTCAAATTGACAAATCTAAAATTTAAATATAAAACTGAAAAATGGATGTGTGCAAATTTTCATTTTTATCACTTTTTTAATTAATTATTTTTAAATATTTTTAACAAACATTTTTTCAAAACTTTTAATAATTTGCTTTTTTTTTTTTCATTTAAATGAATTTCGGATGAGTAATTGAAAAATGAAAATAAAATCTAAATATGTAACTGAAAAATGAATGTGCAAATTTCATATTTCTATCATTTCAAATTAATTATTCAATATTTAAAATAAACATTTTTTCAAAGCTTTTAATAATTTGCTTTTTTTTTTTTCATTTAAATGAATTTCGGATGAATTATTGAGGAATGAAAATAATATTATTTAACAAAATATAATTGTATAATACAATTATAAACATCAATTTCTATTCAGCAATTAGAAAGTAAAAATTTTAATTAAAAAACATAAATTTCAAATAATGGAATAATTAGTTTGTGAAAAAAAAAAAGATAAAATTTGTTTAATGGCTTTTTAAAATGTAAAAACTTTGCAAAGATATTTGGTTTAGCATTTTAGTAAGATTGAAAATATAGAAATTAACAAATTAATTATAAATCTTTATAATGAAATAAATGCTTGATGCATATAAATTGAAACTTATTTTAGCGTGACAAATTTTTTGAGTGTTTTTTTAATTTTTTTTCATTTTAATTAATCTGACTAATTTAATTAATAATTTGAGTGTTTTTAATTTTTTCAATTTTGATCAATTAATATTATTGTTAATAAAATTTGTTAAACTTATAAAATGGAAAAAGAATATTATTCTTTTGCTATGTAACATTAAAATTAATTTTAAAAAATTTTAAACTATTTCAAGGGAATTTAATGTATTCTATTTGAAACTTGCAATAAATTATTGATATTTTGCTAAAAAAATTTTTTTACGACTTTTTATTGATTTTTTAAATGAATTTTAATTATTATAGCTATAATAGAAATGTTAATCATTAGAAAAAAGAAAAAATATAAATTAAAAAAAATTTGCCTAAAAAAATTAAAATTTTTGAAATTTTTAATAATTTTAGAATGTTTCACTTCTGGTTGAGATGCGACATGAACCCAATAAGGCAATTATGTTTCGATCGGAGAATTTTCTTCAATTATCACCGTCCAATGATATTTTAAAAATTACTGAGGTAAAAATTATGCAATCATTTCTCTTCTACTACTATTTGAATTTTAATTTTAATTTTAGAGCTTTAGATTAACATTTTTATTTTGTCTAAAAATTTGATACTTAAATGTTTATATTCATATTAGCAGTAAATTTAAATTTTAAAAAATATTAAATATAAAGTATTTAAAATATATTTTAAAAAAATTGTTAGAAAAATTATATCAGTAAATTTAAAAATATTTGTGATCATATTATCAGTGAAATTAAAATTTAAAAAATATTTATTATTCATATTATCAGTGAATTTAAAAAATATTTGAAAAAATATATTATCAGTAAATTTAAAATATTTTATCAGCTAAATAAAATATTTTTGATTGGATAATTTTATAATTAATGCAAAATATGAGAATCGGATTAATGCAAAAATATGAGAAAATTATAATTAATGCAAAATATGAGAAATATGAGAAATTAGGAATGTTTATATATGCAATTTGTATTTTAAATTTTTTTTTTATGCATTAGAAATTATTTTAGAATTTTATTAAAAAAAAAAAATTAAAATAATTTGTAGGAAAAAGGTGGTACAAAAATTGAATATGATGTTAAAGTGGAATGTGGTACGAATTATTATGGACCAGAATGCGCCATCTTTTGTAATCCAAGTATTGGCAGGTAAACAATTTTTAAACTTATTATTTTTAATAAGTAATTAAATTACTATATCAATAATTTATCTTTGCCAATTTCTACCTTTTTAATTTATCATTTACACATTTATTTAATTTAAAAAAACAAAACTGTCTTTTTTTTTTCGATTTATTTAGATATATATATAGAAAATTTTAAATATATATATATTAAAAACAACATATATTGAAAAAAACTTATATAAAGCTGTTTTTTTTTTTGATTTATTTAAATTTATTTATTTTTTGTTAATTGATTAATCATTTCAAATTAACAGTTTTCACTTCAAATGTTCATCGGATGGACGACGTTTATGCGAAGATGGTTGGAGTGGACACAATTGTGATGACCCAATTTGCGCTAATGGTTGTATTAATGGATATTGTGTTTCACCAGGAATATGCAAGTAAATATTTTTTTTTTTTTTTCATTTTTTAAATATTTTAGAAATTAAAAAAGTTTCAGTGAAAAATAAGAAATTAATTTATATGTAAAATTTGAAAAAAAAAAAAAAAAACGCAATTATTACTTAGAGTTTTATCATATAATAATATATTTTATCAATAGATTTTAAATAATAAAATTAATTTAAGTAAATAAAATTAATTTATTTGGGAATTATAAGATTAGCATTTATGAGTGATAAAAGAAAATAATGCATTTTTGTAAACAATTAGTTAATTCATTCAAATTATCAATACATTTTCAAATTTATTAGATAATTTTTACAAGAAAAAAAAAATAAAATGATGTCAGATTATATTATAAATGAAAGATAATTAATTAAAATATTTTTCTTAAAAAAATTATAAATTTTTAATTGATTCTTTTTTTTTTTAAAAAAAAAAAAAAAAAAGGGAAGAAAATTAAAACTTATTAATGCATTTTTAAATCTATTACATAATCATTACAAAAAAAGAAAACATTGCATTATTATAACTGAAGGTTAATTAATTATGGCATTTTTTTCAAAAAAAAAAAAGAAAACTATATTTTTTAATTTTAAAAAGAGAATTAATTAATTAATTAATTAATTAAGATGTCGTAATGGTTGGCAAGGTGATAATTGTGATCGTTGTAAACCACAGTTTGGTTGTAAACATGGTTATTGTAATAAACCAAATGAATGTATTTGTGAGAAAAATTGGGGTGGAACATATTGCGATAAGTAAATTTTAATTTTTATTTTTTTTTATTCTTTGTATTTTTTGTTTTTGTTTTTCTTTTTTTACATTATTTGAAATTTTATTGTTTAAAACCAAAAAAAAAAAAAAAAATTGATCTATTAAAAGTGAATTTTTGAAAAAAAAAAGAAAACATAAATCACTTCTTTCTTTTCTTCTTTTCCTTTGTCTTTCTTTTTGGAATGAATAAAATTAATAATTTTATTTAAAAATTTCTTTCAAAAAAAAAGTTATATTAAAATTTTATAATAAATATTATATATACAATAAATTTCAGAGATTTAGACTATTGTTTTCATCATTCACCATGTTTAAATGGTGGAAAATGTTCAAGTGGTGGTTTACAAAATTATTATTACTGCAATTGTACCAATGGTTTTAGTGGACAAAACTGTGAAATTAAAGTATTTCTCTCTTTTCTTTGTTTTTTTTTTTTTGTTAAATATTTATTAATATTTAAAAAATAGAATTTATTTTGGAAGAAAATAGAAAAATTTATATAATTTTTTAATTTATAAATATTACATTTGATATTATCATAATAATATTATAAACAAATTTTCTTTTTTCTTTTTAATGTAAATAATAGTTGTGAAATAATTTTAAAAAATGAATGAAAAAAGAAGAAAGATAGCGAAGAAAAAAAAAAAAAAAAAAAAAAAAAGAAAACATAAAAATATTTAAAATAATAATTTTAAAGGTAGATCCATGTGCTAATGTAAATTGTGGCAAATATGGTCAATGTAAAATTTCATGGAATTCTGCGAGTAAATATTTATGCTATTGTGATACGACCCATTATGGTGATCACTGTCAATATCGTTTAAATTTGGATCAAAATCATCCAACAAATAATGGTATGTGCTGCATTCCTAAATTTATAATTTTATTTAATAAAATTTTTAAAAAAAAAAATTAATTAAAATAAATAAATGCTAAAGAATTTTATAATGTTCAGTAATTTTTAGATTTAAATAAATAAACATATATGTCTAAATTCATATTCGTAGACGTAAAAATTCAGTTGTTTTTTAAATTTATAATAAAATGCAGCATCTAGTTACTTGTTTTAATAATTAAATTAAAATTTAGACGAGTTCAAACTGAAAAAAAAAAAAAATTGGATCGCAATTATTAGACATTAATTGTTTATGAAAATAATTATTACATTTTAATTTCTAAAACTGTTTAAAACTGCTTTAGATTTGCATTTTTAAACTTAAAAAATTTTAATAATTTAAATGTGCCATTATAAAATTAAAATATTTCTCAATTATAGCTCATTTTCAATCAGGAAGTTGCAAATTATCAAATTCAGAATATATACCACCTGGATTTACCTGGACTACAGTTGATTGTCGACAATGTTTATGTCAAAAAGTAATAAATAATCATTTCATTTTCATCCTTTTCTTTTTTTTTTTCTATAAAATTTCTTGTATTTTAATAATTTTTAAAAAATTTCAGGGTGATATTATCTGTTCAGAGAAACGATGTGAATCACGTGATTGCTCTCATAATGATTCAAATTTAGATAATTCTCTTATATGTCCAAAAGATCAGGCATGTTTTCCATACGTAAAATATTATTACTTTACTACGTTATACGTGGTGAAATATTATAATTTACTAATTATTGTTTATTATTGAAAATAATTAGATTTATTGTGTTAGCTAAATGGAATTTAAAAAATAATTTTGCTTTTTTTTTTTTTTTTTTTATATTACGACGTTGCGATATGCGTAATATTACGTGTACTGTGACGTCGTTTTTTTTTTTTTTTTTGAGATATAATAAATTTTTATTTTTTTATTTTTCAGCACTGTGTTATTGTCACAGAAGATGAATGTCTCAAAGGAAAATGCGAATATCCACGTGGACGATGTCTTTCATGGTTGCAAATAAATAGTGAAACAGCGCGGCGCATTTGTCATGAACGTTTGAATGCTAATAACAAGAATACACGTGAATGTGCACGAATGTATCTTGAATTTGATATCAATAATTTATCATCGGTAAGGTAATTTCAATTGTTATGCAAAACTTTTTCAGCTCATTTTATTATTAAAAAATTTTTGAAATTTTATAAGTTAAATTGCAAAAAATTATTGCTAATAATATATCATTTAAGGTTGTAAAAAAAAAAAAAAAATTGAATAATATTTAATATATAATAAAAATAAAAACGAATAAATAAATCATTTTAGCTTAATATATATATTATTTAAAACTAAAAAATATTTATTTTAAAAATTTGAAATATTGCAGCTATTTTTTTTTCCTTTTTTAGCTTTTAAGAAAATCTGTAAATTTCTATTTTGTATATTACATCCACCCTTACACTACGAATTGAATATGATAAAAAAAGATTTGATCAAAAAAAAAAACTTTTAAAGTGTAAAAATGAATAAATAAATTATTTCAGTTAATAATTTCAAAATTAATAAATTTTTTTTTAATTAAAAAATTTTTTTTTTTTGTTTACAGGGAACAACATCAGGTGATGTTTGTTTTCATTTGCTATTAGATGTAAACACAGCAAATATTACACATGTTGGATTCAATTGCAAATTAATTTTAACTAATATTGTGCAAGTTGATATTGTAAGTTCTTTTTTCTTTTTTTAAATTTTTTATTTTTATAATTTATTAAATATTGTCAAAATTGTTTTTTTTTTTTTTTTTTTGTTGCAAATTATTTTTATTACTTTAGGTAAAACTTGATATTTGATTCATTTATTCAAATTTGAATTATCCAAATAACACTCCCTTTTTTTTCAATTTTCATCTCATTTTTTTCTTTTTGAACTTTTTTTTCAAATAAAATAAATTGAAATTTGACGTATGTAATATTTCTTTTTTTAAAAAACCAAATTTCAAAGTAAATTGTTAAATATTTGTCTGATTTGTTTATGTTTGGTAACATGATTATTATTTAGCGATTCTTGAAAAATATTTGCATTCTTTTTTTAAGATAATAATTTAGAAATTTTAAATTTATAGAATATATATTCATATTCAAGAGTTAGTCAAAAATTAATTTGAATATTTACATTTTATATTGTTTGAAAGTAATTTTAATTTTAACCGTTTTTGCTTTAGATATCATTACAATTTGTAACGGATGTTATGATGATAAAAGATTTCCTCAAGAATCGTATTCGTGATCATTTAACAGCAAGTCAAATACTTGCTAAAGTTATCCAAATTAGTGATAATGATAATCATGATAATAGCAAAAATCATATGTTCAATGCTATTTTAACACTTCAAGATTCTGGTTTGTATTCAATTTATAAATGAAATTATAAAATATTTGTTGAAAATAACAAATTTTTTTATTATTTTTTTTCCTTCAAAAATCAAATTTTGAATTAAAATTTAAATGTTTTTTGTATGATTTCTTTACCATTATTTTTTTTCTTTCTAAAATCAATTTTCAAATTAAAATTTAAACGTTTTTTGTATAATTTATTTTATTTTTTTTCTAAAATCAAATTTCAAATTAGAATTTAAATGTTTTTTTGTATTCAACCTAAATGAAGTTATAAAATATTTGTAGAAATAACAAATTTATTTATTGTTTTTTTTTTTTTTTTTTTTTTTTTTTTTTTCTTTCAAAAATCAAATTTCAAATCAAAATTTAAATATTTTTTTTTACATGATTTTGTTTAATTTTCTCAACTAATATAATTTGTTATTTAATTTTACTTTTTATTCAAGTCTATAATTTTATTCAATTTTTTTTTTTTTTTTAAATATATTTTATCATATATTATTTTCAGCACTATCACCAACTGCTGATTTTACAATGTTAACAACAAAACAAATGCTTATCATAATTATTTGTCTAATGTTACTGATAATTCTTATCCTTCTAAATATTTCTATCATGAAGAATGCACATTTATGCATTAGTAAACGTTATGATAATTCACGATGCAATGATAATTTATTGGAATTACAATTAAAACAACCTGCAAATGTTTATACGACACAAACATTAATTAAATCTAAAGAAATGGAACAGAATAAATCATTATTGGATGGTATACGTGAAATATGTCAACAACCATTATTTTTTAACAATTTAAAACGTAAAATTTTCTTTGTTCTTTTTTTTTTTTTTTTTGTGTGTGTGTGTGTGTGTAAAATTTAATTAGAAACAAAAAATGATATAATATATTAATTATGTAAAAAATTTTTTCTTATATTTTTAATTCTTAAATGATATAAATTTTATCTTTTAATGATTTATTTTCTCATTCATATTTATTAATTAATATTTATAAAAAAAATTTGTTTTTATTTAATAATAAAAATTTTGTTTTTTATTTATAATTATTAAATGATAGTATTTTTATCTTATCTCTGTATTTTATCTGATTTGTTTTTTATTTAAATAATTATTAAATGATAATAATTTTAACCTATCTCTCTCTGTGTTTCATTTTTCAAATTTTTAAATTCAATGTTTTTTTTTTTTTTTTTTTTTCAGGACATTATTCTACAACCGAATCATTTCATTCAGGAACTGATCGTGAATTGGAAGAAAATGAACATAATGCAAGGATTTTGGAACAACGGCGAATGAAATCAAAATTACGCATTTTAAATGATTCACAATTTGATAATTCAATTTTAAATCCAATACGGTTACAATTAACTGGTAATAATGTACAATTATACACATCAAAAGATTATTGATGCAAAAAGAAAATTTTATATTTAAATTTAATTAATGTAATTACATGAACATAGCAATTAATTATATCACTTAATTTGTTTGTGTTTATTAATTTAATTTTTTTTTGATAATCATTTGCTCGTCACTTATATCTTTTTATCAATTTTAAATTTCTATGTTTGCTACTACAGAATGTTTACCTTTCTTTTTTTGAGTAATATTTGATAATGATTATCACACATATTTCAATGTTATCAAAATTACATTCAAATGCAATAAATTATTTTGTGAAAAATGTAAAATGAGATCGAATTGTTAGAATTTATCATTTTTTTATTTTTATTGATAACTATCATTTTGTATATTTTATGTTATCACTTTTGTGACAATTATATTTGTTTTTGTAGCGAATACTGCTTTATACTTTCTAATAAAATTAAATTTAAAATTTTAAGTCTAAAAATTTGACGATTGATTCAAAATTTTAATTTTATGTTTTTTCTTTCCAATTTTTGTATTAGTTTTTTTTTTCCTTTTTTGTTTTTTATTTTCTGTGCATTATACTAATTTCATTTCTACAGCAAAAATGTTTGTTCGTTTTCATAGAAATAAAATTCAAATTCAAATTACAATTTAGATAAAAGATTTTGAAATGGAGAGAAAAGAAACAATAAATACCATTTTGCCATACCATTTTGCTATATAAAAATACTATTTTGAATAAATTTCAATTTAATTTTAAAATTAAATCTATAAAAAAAACAATGGTATTTCAACTTTTCAAATTGGCATTTTTTTTTTTTTTGAAAAGAAAATTCTTTTTTTTTTATCTTTTATAATAATTTATTTTACTTAATTACTCTAATTGTCAACTTTTCCTTTATTTTACTGTTTTATGAATTATCTATTTTTGCCGATATCTGTTACATTCTACCATATATTTCATTAATTAAAGAACAAACGACCATATTTGATTTGATTTCAATAAAATAAATTATTTTACGTAATTAAAGTGATGAAAGAAAAAAAAAAAAAGAATGGAAAAAATAAAATTAATCGTTGCAAAAATTGTGGGAAATTTTTAAAAAAAAAAATGAATTTCATCAGTGTAATTCAGCCATGCAATATTAAAATCAAAATTAATTTTTTTTTTTTTTTGTAAATGTACAAATAACTTTGAGTTTGTAGTATTTGAAATAAGAAAGTTATATATTTTTTTTCAAGCTTTACTACTTATTATGTAACGAAGTAAACATTTTCAAAGGTTAAACATGTAGCGAAACAAACTTACCAATGAAAATTTTACAAAATTTTAATTTTTAATGAAATGGAAACATTGAAATGATTAGCATTTAACGAAATAAACTTACCAATGAAATTTTTATAAAATTTTAATTTTTAATGAAATGAAAACGTTTAAGGGCTATTAGTAATGAAAACATTTTCTACGGCTAAGCTCAGATGCATAGATTTTTCATTTGACAAAAATGTTTATTTTAGGATAACAATAAAATACAAATTTATCGGTATTTATTCAAATTCTTATTCTATAATTTGTTATGTCCTATTTTGAGTAATAAGAAAGTAAGTTTTTGCAAACAAAAAAAAAACATAATTTATAATTTTGCTTGGATGTCGATGACATGAATGTTTCATATTTGTTTTTAAATATTTACAAATTACCGACTGATATCAAATTACCGATTTCATTCAGATATTATTTTTAAAATTATTTATTTTTCGAGAATTATTTCTGAGATTACTTATTTTGAGTAATAAACAAGTAAGTGGGAAAAGCATCCTGTAAACAAAACATAATATCATAAATTATAATTTTGTTTAGACGAAATTTCATTTTAACAACATCAATGCTTCACTTATTTTATTGCATTTCTAAATATTTACCTTGTAACTAAAAATTAAATACCTAAAATTTCAATCTAACAAAAATTTTAAATTGTCATTTATTTACTTCCCGAACTATTGATTATTTCACTTCAAATAAATGATACGTAAATTATCTATCATTATGTTATCTTTTGACAGCTGAAAATTGTTTCAAAGTTTTAAAAATTTAATGAGCTGGTATAACAACAAAAAAAAATTCAAATTACTATATTTTTGAAATGGTGTAAAGAATACTTTAATTAACAAAAAATGCAGTACTTGAAATATTCATATCAAATGCTTGTTCATGTATACCTGTTTATTTCACTAAAATTTGTTCACTTATTTTTTCTTTTTTTTTTTTCTATTTTAAATTATTTTCTGCAATGTATCAAAATTCCAAATATTTCAAAAGTGAGAAAAAAAAAACAATGAGAAGATTGATAAGTTCGGATTTGAACTGCAAAATTGTCACAATGTAATTGGTTCATTCAACAATATTCTTTTTAATCAAACATTTGATGAAACAGAATTTAATTGTAAACATTAAATTTTAAAATGAATGCCATTTCAATGACATATTTTCGGATTACTCACTCATTTCGGTCTCTTTTTTTTGTATTTAAATGAAAGAAAAGAAATTTAACTTTCATAAATTCCTTATCGTGACAGGCAAGATATGTATGTTTTCATTTGTGATTAAATAATGAAAAATTCTTTTAACTTTCCCTCACCCATTTATCATTTAATTAATACTAAAATCTTTTTCCTGAAATGCTTGAACCTAGAATTCAAAAACATATTCTGTTCAACTCAACTTTTCATCATTACTGAAAATGATATTTTGAAATCGTAATTAAAATCATTCTTGTCTATTGGCTAGCTAATTTTATTATTAAAACCAATTCACTAATTTAAATATCTGTACATTTACAGAAATTTCATTTGATTCTTTTGCGTGTAAAATTTAAAATGAAAATATTACTGCTATCTCTTATCTTTTGCGATCTTATTATTGGCACTGATGGCAAAAGTAAGTTTATAATTAATTGCTGTTAATTTTATCATTCCGAAATGATAATTTTTTTTTTTCAAATTTCCTATTGCAGCTTTTCAGTTACGAAATAATTTTCATTTCCTTTTTTAAGCTAAAAATTTTATCAATCAAATATTTTTTTCTTTTTTATCACTGATAGAAAATTCCTGTAATTTAGTACCACTGGGAATTTTTAAAACATTGATTTGATTGCTATTAGTTCCTTCTTAAGTAAATTTAATCATTTTGATTGATAGCACAAAAAAAATGAGTAAAATGGAAATTTATTTTCTTTTTACTGCGAAAAAATATTTAGTCAGATAGATCACTGATTATTTTTTATCCGTGATCCAAAGAATCACCAATAAATGCTCGAAGTGTCAACAACCGATTGATTGTCAACTGTCATTAAATCATTTGTCATACATTTTTCAATTAAAAACTGAAATTTTATTATTTCTTCAAATGCTAATGTCATAGCAACTGCACGACACGGACATTTTAGCACTTAATCAAAATTTAGAACTAGTGAAAGCAAATTTAGAATTTCTTTCTTACTGCCCTGTTTCCTTTTGAAACAAAGTAGCTTCCTTTCTTGATGGTTCAGATCGTTGACTTCTTTGTCCTCGATACTGGTAGAATCTCAAATCTGTACTGGTCTCGTCCTGTGTACGTGTACTGTGGGAGTCTTCGTGAACAAACAAAATAAAACAAACAACACAACAAAACAAAATCTCTTTCATTTTTTGACAATTTAAAGTGATATACTTTATTATTCAAACCTCAAACTTGGGTAATTAACCCACAGATTAACATTAAAAATTATGTAACATTACAATAATGAATTAATGCATTACATATAAATGTAAATTATAAAACATTTAAAGATATAAGCAAGCTAGACACCTCGCAATCGAGACATACCAAACAAAGAACTATAATGAATGGCTTTGTAAGGAAGAAAACTGGGAGGGATTTTATGGGTGTTAAGGTTACAAAGTGGATTAAGATCACTTAAAACAATAGCTTTTGTTCATTAGGTTATAGCTTCGCCATTGTGGCGATAGTACTTAAAATGTTCAAAAGCGCAGAATATTCAAATTTTCGTTTGAGATTTAATGATTGTATCATCAAAATATTTGTATTAGATAAATACATATTTAGCTTCAAGATTTTATTTAATTTTTTTAAAGATTTAAATAAATGCTCTTTTCAGATTGCAAGAAACATCGAGATTGCCGTATTGATCAAATTTGTGAGGAAGAGAAATGCATTCCGGATTTATTGCCGATATTAGCAATGAAAGAAACAAACAAACAACATTTATGTATAAATCTTAAAAATTCATAATATAATCAAATTATATTTTTATGTCTGATTGAAATCACTCAAAATGATTTTGTTGCAAAACATTTACATTTCATTTTTAGCAATTCATAAAATAATTTTTGTAAAAATATGTTTGAAATTTTTATCTCGTCTTTTTAACTCAAATAAGATAGTTTGATATAGTTTTTATATTTAAATTCTATTTTTTATCAATTTTAAGGGAAAGATTTACGTCCATATATTTTAATCTAATCAATATACACGTAAAGCTACGTCTTAAGCAAATTATTTCAACTAAACTTTTAAATTAAGTAATTTAAATTAAGAAAATTTGTTTTATTTAAGCATTTAAATGTAGTAAATTATTTCAGATTGTAATACTAATTATCACTGTAAATCATGGCAAAAATGTATGAATGGTATATGTGTGCAAAGTTTTGAGCATTTAGCAACAACGAATGATCTCGAAACATTGATTGTACCACCATTCAAATTAAAACCAATAAAATTTGATGCAAAAGAAAAGATAAACAATCAGCCAACGAATACGACTGAATTTCAAACGTTGAAGATGGCAAAATCTGATGAACAATCTGAATCTGAGGAACTGGAAGAAACCGAAACTGAAGAATTAAGTGAGACAGTGGCAGAAGCAACAGATGTGACAGCATCGCAGATACCAAATGAGGAAATAACTGAAGTAATGAATGTGACAGAATTTGAGACAATTATTGAAACAGGAACTGTATCTGATTATCACACATCAAATATGGAAACAGATTCTTGGACTTTAGAAAGTAATCTTTTATGGAATAAGATTAGTAGTTTGTTAGATCAATTGATTATTGTTGTAATTTCCGATAATTTTAAGCTATTTCATCTAAATATTACTTTCTTATTTATCAATAAATATCATTTTAATATCATTCTAATTTTGATTTTGGTTCTATACGAATGGCCAATGTAATCTTCAATAGCTATGCGCAATTGATGAATATTTTGTTGTGAATATATTACTGCTAAAACTTGGACCAAAATTTGTCCATAATTTGGTCTTAACAGTAGCGGTAGATTTCTTTTAAGTTTGTTTAAAATTATGAAAATGTATAGGAGAGAAGCGCACTCATTAATTAAACTTTTCTTGTTCCATTACATTTTGCTAAGAATTTTTTTTCAAAAAAAAAAAAGCATTGCTAAAATTTGGAATATTTCAGAATGTGACAGTAGTGCAGATTGCAAAAAATCACAAATTTGCCAGGATGGACTCTGCCATAATTCTCATTCTTATACAAGTAAGAAATTAAATTTACGACAATGAAGAATGAAACGGCATTTCTGATCCTTTCAATTGTTTAAAGTAAATGAGTGGGTAAAGCATTTTGGAGTATAAAACCAATAAGCAAGGTGCAAATGACGAGATAGAGGCTACGGTCCACTACGGTGAGGTATGATACAGTACGGATGTATGATACAGACACACATTCCAAACAGCATGGAGCAGGAAGCCTGATTTTAATAAAAATCACTGTCAACAATTAATTTTTACATAAAAATAAGCTCAGTATCAGCGTGGCATTGATTACAGTGTGAAATACTTAATTGATAAAAATAATAAAATTATTCTTCATATATAAGCTTACTTGCAGAAAGAAATCTTCCCTGTTACAGTATCTACCGGATCTCATAGGAGGTTATGGTCCGTAGGATTGTGACAGAGCTGCCTTAGATAAGAACTTATTGATTCCTTATTATTTAAATCTGATAATTAAAAGAATTCTGATTGTTTATAGTGCAGTAAAACTTTTGACTTTAAAGCAATATCTATCACTTATACTTTGCATTAATAATACGAAATATTTGTTTATAATAATACTATGAAATATTGAAATATAATTAATAATGCGAAATATTTGTTTCAGAACTCTGTGACAGTCTATGGTGGCAATTTAGGCAGAAGTGTTATCTCCCGGTATTTTTTTTTTGTTTCATTTTTAATAAAAAATTCAAGTAATTTTACTCTTCCTATTTCAAATGAATTCATCCACCTATACTTTCGAGAACATTTAACTCTATTTCATCTGATCATTTGAGATTCACGGTCGTTTCACTCATTCTGAAGGATCTGATTATTGCGCAAAATTTGGTGCTCATTTGGTTACAATTAGAGATACTCAACAAGCAAATTATGTGAATTGTGAGCAATTTCAATATGTAAATTGTAATATCAGGTCACATAACCTGAAATACTAACACTGATAAACAAGATATTAACGCCATTTACATTGCCCGTAAATAACCTATTTACCTAACAATTATTTTTTGCATTTGGCCCTTTCCTTACTTTTTTTAGATCAAAATTCTAGAATTAAAATTTGAGTGAAATTATTAAAATTATCATTCAATAAAAAACTTTCTATTTCAGATATCTATGATATAGGTGGTAGTGGTACATATTGGATTGGTTTAATTAAAGATATTAATGGTACTTTGAAATGGCAAAGTGATGAATCTATGATTTACACCAACTGGAGTGAAGGAGAACCGGAACCACGGATAGGTTGTGTGATTATCAATACGGTAATACATAATGGAAAATGGTCAATAACTGACTGCTCTGACTTACAGTATCCAGATCAAGGATTTGTTTGTGAGATGGATATTCGTAATAATTAGTTGAAATTTCTCTTGAATTTTTCTTTTGATCAATTTTTTGTATATTTTTTTTTTTCAAATAAATTATTGAAGAATAGCATTAGCTGTCATAGTTTTTGAAATCTAATTTTTATTTTCAATCCCTCAACAATTATTCTTCGAATATGGATCATTATATGATATTTTACCAGCTTTTTGAAACGTGTAGTAATTGCTTATTATCACAAATAATAATTTATTTATAAAACAAATTATCATTAAAGGAATATTTTAAAAGTAACTTTCTCATTTCTACTCTATGAAAGCAAATAATTATCTATGAATGTTCCGTAAACACAACTCTCTGAATTTGTTTGTCATTCAGTACGTAGTTTAAAAAACGAAAAAAGTTATAGATTTTGTTGAGAAATTGAATGCTAATAAATTGAAATAAATTTCACATATTAAAAGCTTGAAGGAAAGCAATACACATATTGTTTGTTAATTGATTGTAATATTATCTAATATTCTAAACAATGTACAGTGCCTAACTGTAAATGAAAGATGAAAATTGGATAAATAGTTTCTCCCTCACTTGTGATATAAAACTAAAAGTTATTTGTCCAAGAAATATTCAAAACAGGATAATTTCTAGTCTGCAAATTTTTATTTCATGCATTTGACTCCGGTTCTTTTTTTTTTAATATGGTTTGAGGAATCATTCATACATTAATAAAGAAATTGCTTTCTGAAGATTAATTTATTTCTTCCAAAAAAATCAAGTGTGGAATCCAAAGCAAAGTGTCTGTTTCTATTTGCTTATTTTAAAATCATTTTCTCAGCTGGAAGATCAGGAAAATGGTTTTGCTGATGACTATTGAGATTTTTTCAACAATTCACCCTCAAGAAACAAACAAAACATCAATTTTTATTCTGGTTTAAATAAGTTTTTAGTGTATTTTATACAGTCGATTTCCGAATCCGTTTTCAAAAATAGAAACCGTACAAAAGTGGGTGAAGTCGTCATTTTCACTGCTTTCGGTTAGAGTACATGGAGTAGCATACATTATTTTATTTTTTATTATTACCTATCACATATTACAATTTCACTCTATTTTATTAAATCAAGAATGTTCTTTGCGAGAATTATTAGAGGTTCGTTTCTTGCATTGCTTATTCCATATTCCATTGCTGTAATTAACATATTATCATTATCTTTAGAATTTACAAAGTCTTTGCATGTAACTTTTGAAAAACTAAAAAATTAACAATTAAACAAAAAATTAAACAGAATTTTCCAGAAGTTACTGAAGAGAGATGCAGTTCCTGCATATAAATTCCACAGTGAATGTTAATACATATGGAAGCAGCAGTGACAACAGTTTTTCTTAACTATCTAAGAACGCACATTACAAAATTATAAGGGAATTTTCAAATTTGTAACACATCGACATCAAATCTCTATTACCTTCTGAATTTTGGATTTTGTATGAATTAAGCGGTTCCAATTTTGACATCGCTGTTTCGCTTTCAATCTCCAAAAAGTCCGGTTTACACTGACCATTCACCCAAATCTTGTCTCGATTACAATCTATGCTATCAACCGCATCTAAAACTAATTTTATAATATCTATTAACAAATTTTGCTGAAACAGTAAAAAAAAAATTAATTCAATCTTTTAAGGAAAAATTACTTTTATGCGATTAATTTCAGTCTCTTACATTTTGTAGGAATAATATGAGGCAAAAAAACTGAATTGAAAAACTGTGGAAAAAACGAAAAGCTTACCCTTCATTACGAAATCTGCAGCAACGGCCACAACACCACCATCAGCAGCCATCATGCCATCACCACCGTTCATACCACCACCATCAGCAGCCATCATGCCATCACCACCGTTCATACCACCACCATCAGCAGCCATCATGCCATCACCACCGTTCATACCACCACCATCAGCAGCCATCATGCCATCACCACCGTTCATACCACCACCATCAGCAGCCATCATGCCATCACCACCGTTCATACCACCACCATCAGCAGCCATCATGCCATCACCACCGTTCATACCACCACCATCAGCAGCCATCATGCCATCACCACCGTTCATACCACCACCATCAGCAGCCATCATTCCATCACCACCGTTCATACCACCACCGTTCATACCACCACCGTTCATACCATCACCGTTCATTCCACCGCCCATTCCACCGTCGTTCATACCACCGCCGTTCATACCACCACCGTTCATACCACCACCGTTCATTCCACCGCCGTTCATACCACCACCGTTCATACCACCACCGTTCATACCACCACCGTTCATACCACCGCCGTTCATACCACCACCGTTCATACCACCACCGTTCATTCCACCGCCGTTCATACCACCACCGTTCATACCACCGCCGTTCATACCATCACCGTTCATCATACCGCCACCACCGTTCATCATACCACCACCACCGTTCATCATGCCACCACCGTTCATACCATCACCGTTCATCATACCGCCACCACCGTTCATCATACCACCACCACCGTTCATCATGCCACCACCATTCATCATGCCACCATCAGCATTCATCATGCCACCACCACCGTTCATCATACCACCACCACCGTTCATCATACCACCACCACCGTTCATCATACCACCACCACCGTTCATCATGCCACCACCACCACCGTTCATCATGCCACCACCACCACCGTTCATCATGCCACCACCACCGTTCATCATGCCACCACCATCGCCCATGCCACCTCCACCCATCCCGCCATCACGATTAGCTGGTTGCATCTGTGGTCCATTACTGGTGCAGAAAATAATATAAACAAAGAGTAAATGTCTTCTTGCCATGATCATATGTGATCAGCAAAATATCATATTTCGTTATCCTGAAGAAACGCATTTATGTAAATTCGCATTTAGTATCATAGGAAGACAGTTAAAAATTTTCAGCCAATCTAACGTATTACCTAATGGAGAAAATGGATACGGTCTAAAATAAATTTTTCAGCCAATGATTTTTTTTTTCTTCGCTGTCTAACGTGTTGTTTTATTTTAATCAAATTAAATTATTGGTAGAAAAACATTTTAATAGAAAGCACTAAATAAATCTAGGGTAATGAATCCACGTATACGGAATGTAGTCTTATTTCTTCCACCCCTGAAGCCAAATATTATAGATCTCTTTATCATTGATCCTCAATATACTTATATTAAACGTTACGTTCCTAGATTACTTCTTCATTATTTACTTTGCAGAATTGTAAAAGCAAAACCGTTCTGTGATAGATCGGAGTGCATAAAATATAATAGTAAAAGAAAATTGATGATGGATAATTAAAAATTTCGCTTTTTATATTTCGGCAATGGCCTGTTTTGGAGTGAATTTAATCTTACATAGTAGGAGTGTTTGAGCAATACACGTTTTTTTTTTTTGTTCTACGATTTAATTATTTGTCGTATGTTTAAAAGAGAAAGAAGGAAGAATGAGTGGATGAATTGTATAGAACGGATAGAAAAAGGCTGATATTAACGGAAGCAAATACTGCCCGTTGAATTGGTTAAACTTTTCTTTCCCGCTGGAATTTGTAAATTGTTTGCAAATTGATCTCTCTGTAGTGACAGTTTATCAACAAATATCCTTTCTTTCAATTAATTTAATGCTGTTAATATTTGCTTTTCTATGCTCTTTTTATTAACGACATACGAACAGAAAATAACTTTTATAAGGATTCCGCGTTTACAAAAAAATTTTAGTAAGCAAAGTTGTTTAAAATTCCTTTTCGTTAGAGTTGTTGCTTGTTTAAAATTTTCTCTTACGTTAAAGAAGAATGAAATTTTATATGTAAAGTCCTAGCATAGTTTGATAAAAAAAAACTAATCGTGTTTAATTAAACTGACACGATGGTTCCATATTATTACGGAAATACCACCGATAAAACATCCAGATGAACTTGTGACCAGTAACACAGGATGACAAATTTCACTTTTTTTTAAAATTTTGTTTAGAAGATAGCTTTATAATATAAGTGTTGAAAGAACTGAATGTGCTGTGATGTATTTATTAAACATGCTTGAAAAATTATCACAATACGGAAATAAATTAACTAACTGGTAGAAGTTTTAGCAAAAAAAAGAGCACAGTTATAAAGCGGTGGACTTTTCGATAAAAACCATAAGTGTTACTGAAAAGTGGAGACATTGACGGAACAATTGAATTTGAGAATGCAAAACTTTATTATCTAAAAATATATAATACTTACACATTTCCTATCAACCTCAAAAAAATTATTGAAATGATCAAAAAAAAAAAAAAAAAATAATAATAAGGCATACGTAAAAGCAACTACAAAATTAAAAAAAGAAATACAGACTTAAAAGAAAATCAAAGTTATAAGGAAACAATTAGTAATAACATGAACAGGAAGAATTCCTATAGTTAGAATGTAGGCGAATATTATGAAGCATATAATTTTCAAACAAAAAATGATCTGTAAATTTCAACGAGAAGGAAATGTTTAACCAATTCAAAATTGAAATATTCACTTCCGTTTATATAAATCTCTTTCTATTCCTTCTATCAGCTCAACAACTCAGCAGCTCATTCTTCCTCCTTTTTTCTTTTAAACATGCGACAAATAATTAAATTGTAGAACAAAAAGACATGTATCGATCAAATATGTCTACTATGCGAGACAATAATCACTCCAAAAGAGGCCACTGTCGAAATATAAAAGGTGCAATTTTTAAATCCTTTACCATTTATTTCTTTACTGTTACATCTTTTACATTTCAATCTATCACAATCACTTAAGAAAACTATGAAGTAACTTTTCATTGGGCTCTTCGATTTCACTTTTTTAATTCTACGATCAAAAAATTTAGATGCAGGATTGCAAAGAATTCAAAAATAGAATACTCTTTATCGATAAAAATACTCTTTGGGTTTCAATATTAGGTTAATCTGGAATATTTTCTCTCATGATCAGAATGATTCAACATTTAGTACCATACTCTCGTTGTCATAGATTATCTTAGATTCATTCAACTCTATTCCCACTTAAATTTCTTTCAATAGATTTCTGACTATATCAGTTTATTCCAATACATCAATGTGCCACCATGTTTACATTGTTGTTATTGGAAAGATTTTCACATTTGTGTAGTGCATAGAAAATCGAAAAGCAAATGAAAATATCATTGGCTGAAAAATTCATTTTGTCTATCTATTTTTTGCTTTTAAATAACATTTCTGATTGACTGAAACTTTGTAACTGTCTTCCTATGATACTGAATATGAATTTAAATAAATGGGTTTCTTCAGGGCAACGAAATATGATATTTTGCTGACCAAATACGAACATGGCAAGAAGACATTTACTGTTTGTTTATATTATTTTCTGCTCCAGCAATAATGCACCAATGCGACAAGCTAATCGGGAAGGTGTAAGGGATGGCGGTGCTGCGATAGAGGATGAAAATATGGATGCTGGTATGATGGGTGGTGATGCTGGTGGTGGTGGCGGTGGTGGTGGTGGTGGTGGCGGTGGTGGTGGTGGTGGCGGTGATGCTAGTGGTGGTGGCGGTGGTAGTGGTGGTGGTAGCGATGCTGGTGATGGTGGCGGTGGTGGTGGTGGCGGTGGCGGTGGTGGTGGTGATGCTGGTGGTGGTGGTATGATGGGTGGTGGTGGTGGTATGATGGGTGGTGGTGGTGGTGGTATGATGGGTGGTGGCGGTGATGCTGGTGGTGGTGGTATGATGGGTGGTGGTGGTGATGCTGGTGGTGGTGGCGGTGGTGGCGGTGATGCTGGTGGTATGATGGGTGGTGGTGGTGGTATGATGGGTGGTGGTGGAGGTGATGCTGGTGGTGGTGGCGGTGGTGGTGGTGATGCTGGTGGTGGTGGCGGTGGTGGTGGTGATGCTGGTGGTGGTGGCGGTGGTGGTGGTGATGCTGGTGGTGGTGGCGGTGGTGGTGGTGATGCTGGTGGTGGTATGAACGGTGGTGATGGCATGATGGCTGCTGATGGTGGTGTTGTGGCGGTTGCTGCAGATTTCGTAATGAAGGGTGAGCTTTTTGTTTTTTCCACAGTTTTTCAATTCAGTTTTTTTTTCTCATATTATTCCTACAAAATGTAAGAGACTGAAATTAATGGTATAAAAATAATTTTTCCTTAAAAGATTGAATTAATTTTGTTTTACTGGTTCAGCAAAATTTGTTAATAGATATTATAAAATTAGTTTTAGATGCGGTTGATAGCATAGATTGTAATCGAGACAAGATTTGGGTGAATGGTCAGTGTAAACCGGACTTTTTGGAGATTGAAAGCGAAACAGCGATGTCAAAATTGGAACCGTTTAATTCATACAAAATCCAAAATTCAGAAGGTAATAGAGATTTGATGTTGATGTGTTACAAATTTGAAAATTCCCTTATAATTTTGTAATGTGCGTTCTTAGATAGTTAAGAAAAACTGTTGTCACTGCTGCTTCCATATGTATTAACATTCACTGCAGGAACTGCATCTCTCCGCAGTAACTTCTGGAAAGTTCTGTTTAATTTTTTGTTTAATTGTTAATTTTTTAGTTGTTCAAAAGTTACATGCAAAGACTTTGTAAATTCTAAAGATAATGATAATATGTTAATTACAGCAATGGAATATGGAATAAGCAATGCAAGAAACGAACCTCTAATAATTCTCGCAAAGAGCATTCTTGATCTAATAAAATAGAATGAAATTGTAATATGTGATAGGCAATAATGAAAAATAAAATAATGTATGCTACTCCATGTACTCTAACCGAAAGCAGTGAGAATGACGATTTCATCCACTTTTGTACGATTTCTGTTTTTGAAAACGGATTCGGGAACCGACTGCATGAAATACACTAAAAACTTATTTAAACCAGAATAACAATTGATGTTTTGTTTGTTTCTTGAGGGTGAATTGTTGAAAAAATCTCAATTGTCATCAGCAAAACCATTTTCCTGATCTTCCAGCTGATAAAATGATTTTAAGATAATCAAATAGAAACAGACACTTTGCTTTGGATTCCACACTTGATTTTTTTGGATGAAATAAATTAATCTTCAGAAAGCAATTTCTTTATTAATGTATAAATGATTCCGCAAACCATATTAAAAAAAAATATATATATATAATACTTTACACGCCTACCGTACTATATAAAGGATTGAAATAACCTCTCAGTGACAGCTCTTTACTCGCAGTCATGATGCGCTTTTTTGCGTGCCCAATGCGTACTGTAGAAAGGAAGTTAAAAGCGTTGTCTGTTCAGTTTTCCGATATAACTTTGATTCGGTTCGTTTCGGTACACACTCAATTCATTTCAGGAAACAGTGATACGGTAGCGGCAGTTTACTGTCGGCATAATTTAAAATTTACTTTATCCAATTCTTTCCTACTACTGTACAACAATAAGAACGCACTTATTATGGAAAGCTTTTCCAACAAACTGCAAAAATTTTTGCTCTATTTATGTTTTTTCAACCTTTGCTTTTGACAAAAAAAAAAGTCTGTCGCGAAACTCGAAATAATCTCGCGAACTTTCAAATAACTTACAAAATATATCAAATAAAATTGTATTAATCTATAGTACTAAAATTCGTCTTAATTGAATATTAAAAATATAAAACTCTTTCAAATTTGCATCATGCAACCATTAATCCAGCACTCATCTTCCCATTGTAGTTGAGCTTATCTGCTTGTCTAGACATTTTCATCTGATAACAAAAAAAAAGGTATGTGCATTGTCTAACATGCTAAAAATTACTCTTTGTTCCAAATCAAATTTGCTTGCAATGTTGAAATATTGCAATAGTTTCTAAGCTAAGCTAATAGTCATTCCTTGAGAAACTACAATATTAAATATTAAAACCCATCTCTAGCTATACAAAGAGTAGATCATCTGATAGCTCTTATTTAACAATCATGCTTTTGCTGCAAGTCATTGTCCACTATATAAGGACTTGGACCTCTCTCTTTTCCTTACCAGTAGGTTACATTCAGCTGCTCTCTCCCATTCAGAGTTGAGTTCATTTCTCCGTTAATTTATTCATTTATCCACTTCCTTTATCTCATTTGTAGATACTGTACGAAATTATCAGTATTGTCGCTATAAATCAGTAATTATGTATTGTGATTGTTAGTTTTGGATTCCACACTTCATTATAAATCAATAATTATGTATTGTGATTGTTAGTGAATAAAATCGTTACAACAAATCTTTCACTGAATTCATTCGTCTGTACCAACTATAATAACAAACAAGGAAGGCTCTTGAGCATGCGAAAATGCAGTTCGATTCTAAGCCACAAGTAATATTTAGACTGAGCATCAAATTTCACCACAAACTCGCTATAATCTAGAAATAAATAAAACTCTTTAGTCATTTATAGCTTTTGAAGTAAAATGTCTTCTTCCACAAAAACCACAAAATTTTAAGTCTTTTTACTGGCTTGCAAGTTGCTAAATGATTTAAAACGTATATTAAAAATTTGAAATATGCTTTTAAAAAAGCTATAATTTGTAATATAATGTAGAGGTTACGTAAGTTTGGAATTTATATATATGTGAGGAAGGTATGTAAATATCTTATTATTTGCAAAAAATTTTAAATTTATTTGTGTGTACTTTTTTTGAATGGAATTTGCATAAAATACAAATTGAGCATTTTTTGATGCAAATTGATCTATTCATATCTACAAATGGACATCTTTTCATCTCTTTTTCAAAAATATATTCTATCTATTAGTCTACAAATACTTTTGGTTATCGTCAATAGACCTTTTTTAAATCTCATCCTTAAATCAATTCCGTTAGATATACTTTTATTTTTAATACAATATTAGGTTATTAATTCTTGTATGAAGCTATGAAATGGCTTCGCTATTTCCTTTATCCAGAATCATGTCTTGTCTTAATTTTTCATTTTTCCATCTTTTTTTTTAAATTTTCATTTTTTTCCAAATCTCATTTTTCAAAAGATCAAGAGTTATCACTATCTGGCTAGTTTTGACGATTCATCGATAGTGAAATTTTATACAAATGCTTGTTAATTGTCACTTGAAATTGCTTATTTTTTATTGCTATTTGATTTTAAATTGCTACTTGCTCTCGTGGCAATTGCCGCATGCTATTATTTGTTGCAAACAGTTATTAAAGTAAGCTTATCATTGCGATGCGTTATTTTTAATTTTGTACAATTCAATAAAATTTTATTTTCATTTTATTTTCAATTGAAGTTTTCAAAATAATCTAAATAATTCAGTATTTTTAAACCATTCACTGAAAAGATTTTAGGAACCCATTGCAAAGTAGCAATGTTTATAGTAACACTCTGATAATACCCTTTTTTTTAACTCTGCAGAAACATTTGTAGTGTTATCTAAGTTTCTCTCGCAATTAGTAATTTTATTTTTTACATCTAAAAATTATCTCAATTAGTCAAATATTTTTATTTATAGATTTAAAACTTTTATAAATGAGTCTACACATTCTTAAATAAGCTTTATTAGTTTGATAATCTTTAATGATCTTGATCTTCCCCATTATTATATGTTCCAATAAGTTGTAATCCTTCTAATGTGCATTTTTTGTTAATTGTCGGAAATAATAATAATTATTAGTTAGTAGAAACCAGTCATTATATCCTGAAAACTTTTAACTTGTTTAGTAGGAAGAAAAATGCGTTGTTTATTCCTTTTTGGGAAAGCTTTGTTTTTTTCTTAGACATTATAGGACAATCACGAATGATTACCAATCGTAGTCGGTTTTTTTTTTTTTTCTTTCTGTTAATCCAGGAGAAATCCGTTTGATGTAGATAATTATAGGATAGAATAACATCAAAATATTTCGTGATTTTATTTGACAAGCAAAACAAGTAGTAGTTGTTAAAGTAGGGTAGGAAGTCATTGTTTAATTTCTTAATTTCAGTTTAAATTTCTAAATTATCAATATATCAAAAAACTGTTTCTAATTAAAAAAAAAAACAAACCGGAAATGACGATTTCAAATATGAAAAGAAAATAAATGAAAGAATAGTTAAGGAATTAAAAAATTAATTAACATTTTTTGTACTTTTACTGTGATATGAAGAACTCATTTTTTCTAGATATCATCATTGGTATAAAAATATCAAAATTTGACGTCGCTGCAATCAGTCCTAGCAAACTTTTTAATTCGGTTTTTTAAATACATGCAATTAAAAGACATATATAATTAAAGACTGATTTAGAAAAAGGTAGAGCAAATTTTGTTGAAGTAAAGGATAGAAAAAGAAATATTCTCTTAAAATTTTTGATACATGAAATTAGTTAAATTGATATTTTGAAATTGAAAACTCATTACCAGCAATTTATTATTAATATCTAATTGTAATCTCAAATTAACTGGAGTCTATCTAAAAAAAAAAAAACAAAAAAATGAAAAATTTTATAAACATAAAGTTCTAAGATCATTAAATAAACAAATTATTTATCGGAGAAGAAAACAAACATTTCGCTGACAATTTATGGGCGTTGTCGTAATGTTTGATAGTGGTGATATGTTGTTTTGCTTTGATGTATAAATCATAGTGACACCATTCAACTATCGATTTCAATTCATCATAAATATTCTAAAAAAGTGATCAATCATTGAGGTTTATCATTGAACACTGCAAACAATTTTAATTACTTTTTTTTTTTACTGCACTGATTTTAATTTAATTTTGCGATTAAAAGCAAAATTAAATTAAAATTACAATCGACAATTTTAGACTTTGGAATGAAATTATTTCGATTAATTTTTTTAAAATATTGGAATGGATTGTATAATTAAATATGCAAATTTATTGATTTATCAAGTAATCAAGGAAATTTCTGATCAAATTAATCTATTAAATAAAATTCAAATAATCAAAGGAATTTTGATGTTATGTACTACACTTATGAATTAAATAATTATTAAATTCCATCATGAAAGAAAATGCAAATAGTTTCTTATCTTTTCTATCCAAACCCGTAATGCATTTTTTTTTTATTTTTTATTTCCGTTTTTTACTTTCTAAAATCCATTAACAGTAGCAATGATTTCAGTGAAGGAAATTATTATTAGGATTTAGTTTTGCTAAAAAAAAAAATTTTTTTTTGGGACCAAAATGCAAATAATTCATATTGAATTATATCATTCATACAATTATTTCATAAAGAAATGAATTTTACTTGATTAGTCCATCTCTAATGTTTTTCTTTTGTCAAAATGATTGAAAATTTTTTGAATTGCTACTGAGTGTACAACACTTCGTCACTAATTTTCTTGTTTAATAAAGTATATTGGGTATTATGCTAATTTTCTTGTTTAATAAACTATTTTTAATTCAATTTTGCTTCTAATCGCAAAATTAAATTAAAATTATCACAGCAATTAAAATTGCATATAATTTT